ATCAGTAATTTAGGTATTTATTGATAACACAGGAAAATTCAAGTGAATATACAGGGTGATTCAAGTTTTGAGGCACAATCTGAAAAGTGTGATAGATCTCATCATTTCAATCTTCTCAAACATGAGTCTGATCTCGTTCAGTAGCGGAGCTACAAGAGGTCAAAAATTGATAATTTCGTTCATAATGATTGAAACATCTTGCTCACTATTGGGGTTCAGGAATTTGGAATCAAGTGAGGTTGTTACTTCCTAGAAGATCACCATTTCAAGCATTTCGAAGATTTTCAATATCTACAGGATCATTTATTTTTGGAGGTACAGGATTCTAAATCCCACTAAACATTTTTAGTAGTACACCTTTTTGACATCATGTAGTTACCGGATTATGTGAATTGTTCAATTTAGCGACTTTATCGTTTCGAAATAAATAAGCATAAAATGTTAAATTTGTCTACATTCCGCTCAAAATCAATTCTTGGAAAAAATTTCACCAACTTTGAAAACTAACAAAACAATAATTACGTTCTACCCTTTGTATCTGCACTACTGATCCAGTTTGTAATTTCAGTATATTTCATTGCATTTTTTGCGAATTTCATTCAATAATAAAATTCAAGCGGTACAATATATAGGCAAAATCAACATGTTTTTAGAACGGTTATGCTTATAAATTCTGACAACCGTTGATTTATCGAAAGAAATTGGAAAGCAAAAAAAGCCTCGGAATCGAACGATACATCAAATTTTTTCACTGTTAGATATAAGAGGCGTACTACGAAGAAGTTTGTGCGGGATAAGGAAGCCTCTACCACCAAAAACGTATCACTCTGTAGATTTTTAAAATCTATAAGATGCTCTGAACGATGATCTTATAGAAAGTATTGAACACACACTGAACTTCTACTTGATATCTTCAAAAGTAAGCGGGTAGGTTGCGTTCGGCCCAGTATTCGATTCATCGAATTTTCAATTGGCCCACCATCTCCGAATATACCAGAACGAGGCGTTGTTGCCAAATCTGAATGAAGAATCATTCTGGGCCTATCAATAATGACTAAACATGGTTTTATAGCATTCAAACAAACCAAAAATGACAATCATTTCGGAACTTGAAAAATATTAGCCATAATTTGGGACTTTCTGTGTTAACTTGATTTGACTGATACGTATATACTCTCTCATTATATATAAATTCGGTTTGAAATATAATAACAATTGAAAATCAATCAGAAGTGAGAGATTCTTTTAAATGTAGTGTAGGTACCATAATATCTGGATTCTGTTTAGTCAATAATGGAGTTGTGTTCGGAAATGAAATAATTTAAGAATTCATTTATTCGTTCCTAGCTCACAAATTCCAAATTTCTTCCTATTGTAGTTGCATGAAAATATCATTATAGAATGTAACATATTATATTCTTTCATTTTTCATCAATTTCGGGTAACTACAAGTGGCCCATTCTACTGACCCCTGCTGCACACATATCTACTCTTCCTTCTTGATTCAGTAAAATCGTCGCAAATAAGGGGGGTTACCTTGCATTTTGATATGTTGTATATGTGATGGATGGCTAATGATGAATGTGAGTTTTCAATCTCGAGAGACCACCGGATCATTTTGAAATACTAAGAAAACGCAAAATTTTCGGATTTTTTTCAGCTTTTGATCAATTTTGACCCCTTATTAGGACCCAATTTACGTCAAAAGTGACTATGTATTGTATTGAAGTAGACCAAGTTTGCTATGAAATGAGGCAAAAATGGTTTCTGTAGACACAATACTTTCCGAGATAAAGCTAATTGGAGCTTTGATGTTGTGAACTCCAGTTTAGACCTATCTACTATTTCAAATTTACAAGAACATGAGCAATTTCAAGCTCTCCGAACGAAATTCATGCACTTCATACTCTCGAACATGATGGTCCAACAGCAAAGCTCTGGGTGCAATATATATGAATGGTTACTTTGGTTAAACAATTCATTGAGGCAGAGCGACTGGGAAACTGGGATTTCCATCTTGATACCATCCAGAAAATGCTGCCATTTTTCATGCAGCTGGCCACTTTTTTATGCCAAGTGCGCCCTCATGTATCTTCTAGATATGCTTGTATCGAAAGAAAAAATGGATTCTTCGGAATACAAACTATTAACGAGTAAAGGGTACTTACCATCCGACGCACCAAGTAGTTCTGGTCAGGAATATGGTCGGATATGACTATAGAACATGTCCTGATGAAAACTATGGAAAGCTTTGGAGGACTGACGAAAGGTCGGAGAATCACTGACAGTTTTCCAACTAGATGGACTTTGTGTACCTCCAGAACATATGTACTGATGTGGAGAACTACTGTGACGTTTCGACTGCAACTTCTGAACAGCACGAAGATATGCGATCCTCCCGCCTTACTGAAGATGACAAAGATACAGAGAAACTGCTTAACTGGTTTTCTCATCATCCTCCATTTCCAAAGACAAATTTCTTTATGTCGTTGAGTAGTGGACTTGTTGGAAGTGAAGCTGTGAACTGTCACAACGCTCTGCACATTCTGCAACTTCGAACAGGTGGAATACAAACGTAAAAATATATTGGAGACGCTTTCCTCTGCTGTTTGCTTGGTTTCTATTGGTGAAAGATAGGTGACTGTGAACCCTCTCACACTGTTCCATAGATTATGGATTCTGAAACAGTTTGATGAATAATTGAAAGATATTTTTATGAAAGAATTGTCACCATTCCCTATTTCACCTTTCACTAAGTCTTCTTTTTACGCAGCCTCAACTCCTATGAGTCCTATAGCCGCTAGAAATATTGATTCTTCAGTGTCAAATGGGCTAACACCGGAAAGAAAGTGTAAAAATAAGATTACTTTGTGAATTTTTCGAATAGCTATACCTCGGAAACTATTCGGTCTACAGATATAAGTTTTGCTCCATTTTGTTGTAAATTTTGTCTACTTTTAAAAAATATAGAATAACTTTCATCATGAATTGGGTCCTTGGGGGTCAAAATCGATCAAAACTGAAAAAAAAAAACAGAAAATATTGATGTTCTTCAAGTATTTCAAAATGATTTGCTGGTCTCTCCAGGACGAAAAGGTAGATTTATCATAAGCCATCCATCACATTCAAATATCAAAAAATCAGAACTACCTTATTTGATGTAAGGTAAAATGTACCATTTTACTGGACTATCTCCTAATTCACCTTTTCGAACATCCGTGGCCTGCAGATGAGGGTCAATATGTCCGTTCACCTTAGGTTAATCCTGTTGAAGCGTATCAGCACCAAATATTTTCGATCCTAGCCTTCCAAACGCCTTAAAATGACCCAGCTAGTGGTATGACAAACCATAGGTACTATAATAGATGCAGTTTGGGCACCAATTGATTCTCAGCGTATTAATTGTTGATTTCTACTCAATGTAGTAGTACAAAATCACTGTTTTTCTGGAAGTCGAAATATTATTTTGTCATGAAAACGATAAACAATTTACGATTTTATTCGCTGACGGAGACCCACGAGAATCAAAAATCCACTAAATACATTAGTTGCTATGGTGATTCGCCAAAAAAACCCAATTTGGTTCATTACTTTTTTCACATAGCAAAATAGGTATGACGTTTTCGTTGTTTCAACCAATATCGATGCTCACTTCTAACCAATTATTTGTTATCATATTAATAATTTGTTGGTAGCAAATTACAGCAATAATTTTTCTACGATTGGATCTCCGTTTGATGGAGGTGTTCATAGACTAGGTTGTAGGTAGGCTGTTCTGTTAGACTAACAATTCTGCTCGAACTTATATGACGCAGAAACGAAGTGTGTGGCTGTAAAATGTTCGTTTATAATGGGCTTTTTGACGAATTACATTCGTGATGGTATTGTTTTTATAATGTTGACTAGATTAGCATTCGTCTCTGCTGCTATCGAAAAATCTCACTCATGGACTTCGATCACTCGTGAGATTTCTATAGGAACAAAGATTCGTGCTTCTAGTTAAAATTATTAAAAAAAATAACATCACTTTTGTAATTGCTGTTGACAAAACGAGTGCATAGCACAATGCCCAATTCCCACAATTCCTGATTTCAACGATGCCCAATTCCCACCATGCCCACCTTCATGTCGACGATTACGAAGATTGCCGAAGAGCACAACGTTGCCAGGTTATGCAAAAATTTCAGAAAAAAACAAGATTCCAACCACGACCACTCCTCATAGATTCTCACGATGCCAAATTCCTACGATGCCCAATTCCTACCATGCCCACTTTCCTCGGATTCCTACCATGATGCTCACTTTTCATACATTCTCACGATGTCCAATTCCTACAATGTCCAATTCCCACCATGCCCATATTTCTTGAATTTCTACCATGCTCACCTTCCATACATTCCCACGATGCTCAGTTTCTACGATGCCCCATTCCCACCATACCCACCTTCATCATGGTGGGAAGTGGAAATCGTGATAATGTATGAAAAGTTAGCATAATGATAATTCGAGGAAAGTGGGCATGATGGGAATTGAGCATCGTAGGAATTGAGCATTGTGGAAATGTATAGAATGTGAACATGGGGAAAATCTAAGGAAGGTGAACATGGTGAGAATTGGGCATCGTAGGAATTGATCAACGTGGAAATGTATGAAAAGTGGGCATGCTGAGAATCCAAGGAAGGTGGAAATGATGAGAATTGGGCATCAGAGGAATCGAGCATTGAGGGAATCTATGGAGAGTGAGCATGGTGGGAATCTTGTGTTATCTGAATTTTTTTCTCAACCTGGCAACGTTGCGCTCTTCGGCAATCTTCTTAGTCGTCGACATGAGGGTGGGCATCGTAGGAAGTGGGCATCGTAGGAGTTGGGCATGGTGGGAATAGGGCATCGCGGGATGCTCCCGACTAAACCATGACTGATGTGGCATTTTCAATGGTATACCTTCCTACCAAAGGCAAATGTAATCAAACATTATTCTTTCATTTTGTTGATTTTTTCAGATGGACGATTGATTTCATCAAGAAAGGGGCTAGAGAGGGGTTGAATAACTCAGATCTGTACGACACTCTAGATTCTGACAAATCGAGATATCTGGGAGATGTGCTGGAAAAAAATTGGGAGAAAGAATTAAATAGGGCAATAACTAAAAATATTGAACCTAGTCTCATGAAAGCCTTATCAGATACGTACTTGATCGACTTCATGATATGGGGCCTTGTGTACTTTGTACAGTTCGTAATAGTAAGGTGAGTACATTAACAATGAGAAAATTTAATGGTTCCTACTATAATGGAACAGGAGTCACTTCAACAATAGTATATTACACACCGAGTTGAGAAGAGATTCATTCCATGTCAGTACAAATTCTATTTTAGGTGAGTCATTTTATTTCCCATTGTGCAATGTGCATATTTTGTTGCCATCTCGATCTTCAATAAACGAACTCTGAACATAATCAGAGAGGAAAACATTTTGTCACATTTGAGTAAATGGTGTTTTATGTATTTATACGATTTTTGGAATATTGTTATATTTTTCATAATAAATACACCCGTCCTGATTGATATGTTACATGAATAGCACACTATGATTCTTTTTTCTAGATCTTCCCAACCTGTTGTTCTATCCTATCTCTTATTACTATTCAATGGAGTGAATGACCAGGAAAACAGAACAGAAAAGTATTTGATGAGTACCCTTCTAGTAGTACTGTCAGTAATAGTTGTATCTATGTACCATCATCATTGTTTTGGACTTGCAAAACTCGGAATGAGAATGAGGATAGCTCTATCATCATTAGTCTACAGAAAGGTGAGGTAATCTGCACTGTCAATAATGCTTCTGTTCAATGCATATACGTCTATCGTTTGGCGATGAAGAATTTTCGAAATTCAGTTTTGGAAGTGAGAAACGACACAATGAGTTCTTATATTAGTTGCCCTAGTTCACACCAATTATTCTGCGAATTATCAAAAAAAACAGATCCCAGTCTTTCATGCATGGAAATTCAAAATAAAAGATTGAATCAGAGCTCTAGAGCCAATATGCAACGGTGACACGTGAGACTAGAAACGTTAGCCCGAGTTGGAGTAGCACAAACATCACTGTTTGTATATGTATATCATCTCGAATGGAAGTGTCGAAATAGTTGAAAGAATATACTTCATATTTTCATATCTATCTATCGATTAAATTCCTATTTCAGGCTCTCTGATGATACAATTTTTGAAAGAAGTGATATTTTAGGACAAAACAACTGAGTTTCCTTCACTGAACATGTATTGAGATATAATACTATGATATTAAATCATTTATTGATATGTCAGAAAATGTTTCACAGTTTCTCTCGGGTTATTTATCAATCATCAATCAGATTTTGTCAATCTGTTGACTTCGAGATTAAATTCAGTTGCATTTTATTCCCACACAAGTGAAATGTTACAGTAGGAATTTGAAAAAATAAATTCCTCACTAAAAAACAATTATTCACACATACATCCTGAGGACTTACTCCATCTCATAATCACATGTAGTTTCGACTTAAACACATACATCTCCAATACTTTCTTTGTGAACATCATATTCACTCCACTCGATTTGCAATATTTATTCCTATACTGAATGGAAATAAAATGCAAACTAACGTAAAGTAGTCAAACATACTTCATTGAACGAATATCTGCTGAGAAGGTCCCTTGAATCACATAGTGAACAAATGAAGAGTATACTTTGCTTAGATGACTGTAAAAAATTCAAATAATACACACAAGCAAACCAAGCAAACGAACCATTCCGAAGCAATGTTCTTTTATATAGTTCGACAACCGGACACACTAGCGCTGTGATCTTGAATTCGTTCGCCTAAACGCGGGTTCTTGTAACTATAGTTTTGACTCGTACTGTATATATAGACGATGAATCACATAGGAAGAGAGTGTGCTGAATCTGGAAAGGGATATTCGCGTATTCTCTCAGATCAAGAAGAATAATTTATCTCGAATATATGTTCACCTTTGAAAATTAATGTACGGGGTGTGCCAAATTGCTCGATATTGTCAATTTTCCCCTTCCATTCCAGAACAAAGGGTCTGAAGTTTGATTTTTATGATATATCAATTGGTGAAAGTCATATTTCGATATCTCTAACCGTTTTCTAGATATGGACAAAACTTGACATTTGATCGAATTCAAAAACAAGTCCTATATCTTTTATCAATTCAGATATTTTTGCAGACGGTTGAAAGTATCTACAGGTTTTTTTCGATGTAGATTCAGATACATCTGCAAGAAAATAATAGATAGCTTGTCCATATTTGTATGCCAAATTCGACTTTGTGATTCAAAGTAGCAGAGTGGGAGCAATATTCAATGTTCATAAAATATTCAATTCAGTAAATGACAAAGGATCCTCAACGGTCCCAGCAAACATTGAACTAGCGGGAGAAGTCCGGCCTAGTGCAGGCTAGTCTGGGAAAGTGACGATGCCGGCGTATTGGTAATGGGCCGATGATTTTCCTATGCCAAGTAACCATCAGTTAAAAATACGATGATGACCTTGTGATGGTAAGATGTCTGGAACTAATTGAATGATCACGAGATCTGGCCCTTTGCTGGCCAATTTCATGTTTGCTACTCGTCCCCCTGGTGATAGTTCTGGGAACGTCTACATCAACAATCAGCTGATCAATATTAAATGTGACTAAGATGGCTGACTCTCGTGAGTGGTGATCGCGTACTGGTTTGTTTATGTCGAATTAATGTGGTCCTCTCTTTCCCTGGTGGTTATTTATGATGGCAGTAGTATTCTCAATTGATAATGATAGAAGACAGATTCTTCAATTATAATAATATTGTGTAAGTATCAATCTTCCTAAATAGTGTTTAAAATTTCATCATTAAATGCATGTGTTTGGTATCTCGTAACTTCATACACCTAATGATCATATTAATTGGAGTGGGCTATACTTCTCCAAAAGCAACTATCATTTTCAAGTCGTTTGTTGCTATCAAAAGTAATTCCAGGTTATGTGAACCTATATATCTCTATACTAAATAACAATAAAATTCCAGCTACAGAAATACCTGTGCCAAGAAGATTATGAGAATTGGAATGCTCCATATTATCACGTCATCAGACTATTTCATCAAGTTATAAACTCATGCAACTCATAGGCCACTAAATAAACAAATGATGCATTTTATATTTCAGAAGTACCTCATAACGAAGAATCGACTACGAAGGAATTCTACCCAATAAGATGTAGATACCACATACCAACCACTAAGCAGTCACATCGTTGAAGAACAGAGAGGTTAGGAAGATATCATTGTGTCATTCATAAAATTGTTTTCTTGAAATCTGGTATGATCAGAGGGTTATATTGTGAAATAAAAAAGTACTAGAACTCTCAGATACAATGGACCCCTAAAACCCCTTCCCTCCCCTACCTCGATAGTGTGTAACCAATGTCGTTAATTGGCCATTACAGTCCCATCAGTTATGTATATGCTGGGCTTGCTATGGGAAATTCAATGTGTCGATTATGTTGTACTGGCCTTTTGCCGGGAAACTGAATATGTTTGCTGGGAACCCAGCACTGGGACCAGCTGCCGGCCGCAGTGTACTGATATATAGAGTCCCGCATATGGGACCATTTACTGGGCCGCTGATGTCAGGTATGGGAAAAATATATAAGGCCATTGATGCCCCATATCAAAATGTTTGCTGGGGTTCAACTATATCACAAGTTGTGTTTGGCTTATGCATCAGTTAATTGGTCGAGAAAATGATGGCTTCTTTCCTTCACTAATTTTTTGAAAAAAGAGAAGAAACCACTCTGATTGAAACATGTTTCGATCTTCCAAATGGTCATCATCAGCCATAGAACTGACAAAGTGAATCTAATCAAAAAATTCTTGTGGAAATGACAAGTTATACAATACAATGATAATGTGGAGTAAAATATCGAGAAATCAAGTGAAATGTAATTATTGTAACTATGGTTCAGCGTAATATTGATTGATAGTTCGATGATGAAAGAATAGTTATAGATATTGAAGAAACAGACCTCTTCAACAAACTATTTTGAAAACAAAATGGCAAATCGCCATTTCAATATCAAAATAATTAGTTAAAGCTCTTTGTTTCCTCAATATCTATCACTATCCTCTTATAATCAAACTATCAATCAATATTCCCTCAACCATAGTAACAATAATTGCATTTCACTTGTTTTTTTTTTTTTTTACCTCACATCAACTTGCATTCATTCATTTCCACTTAGCTGTGTAAACTTTCTGCTATATGATAAGTAAGCATGATGTTTTTTTGTAGATTGGTTTTGTTAGTTTTATGACTGATGATGTCCATTTGAATGGTCGAAACAAAAGTGATGAACTTGTGGGGACGACTTAGAGTGTTTTTCGCGCTTTGATGATCTCCCTCCACTTCGAGTATGGAAGATTATCTTCTGAAACTTGTAAGTTCCTGGTATGGTTTCGATTATTTGGTTTTTGACGAAATCCCAGCACATATTGACGAACTGTTTGGTGTTACGAATTATTGCATAGATTTCGTGAGGATGTAATGCAATGTTTTGCGTGGCATATAGCCAGGAAAGTAGTTGTTTATCATCGTTATCTACCTTTCTCGTTCATTTTATGATTCATTGTGGTAATGAATTTGAGTTCTTCTCCTTTTGTAACTCATAATTATTGTATTTCAGATGACGAAATTGAGTCAGAAAGCTCTGACCGCAACAGCAGCAGGTCAGGTCGTCAATTTGCTTTCCAATGACCTCAATCGTTTTGACCAAGTAGTCACTGTGCTCCACATCCTTTGGATAATTCCATTCCAACTGGCGTTGATAACTTATTTCATATGGAGAGAAGTACAAATCGCTAGTTTTGTTGGTGTTATGTTCATGGTAATCTGCAGTCTGCCAGGGCAATGTGAGTAATATAAAATAATAGTGGAATAGTATATACTGTCTGTAGGTTAATCGAGGAGGTGGTACATTCATTATTCAAAATTTTTTGGAATTTTCTCTCCTCGTTTCTATAAAATGAAAATATGAATATTATTTCAATATACGTGTAGTAAGGACAGATCAGGTGATTTGCCCCTAAATGTCACTGCGTTTAAAGAATTTTCCTATCAGAGAGCCTAAAAAAAAAATTCACTAGCTTGTCAGTGACAATTTGTATTGAAAAAGTTTGGAGAAGAGAAATAAAGGTATATAGCAAAATTATCTAATTTTCACTTATCTTTGAACGTTTCAGGACCGATTCTGTTTCCGTTTTCAACATAAGTTATAATTATTTCGAGAGCTAAGTCATATTTGTCTTGAAGTTTTTCAGTTTTCATTGACGTTGGCAATCAAATGAGAAACAGGATGTTTCCATTAATTAATCTTGAATTTACAATTTTCATGTTCAGGTTTGAGTAGTAAATACCATGTTCTGTCTAAATCAACTGAACAAGGAGCAATGCAATTGTCTCCGTTCAGAAGAATGCAAGCAGATTCCTTGATTCTCCTCTTCTGGTTGTTATCTTCTTTTTCAATGATCTTAATATTATATCACTCTGCCATATGTTGTCGGTCTTTAGTAAGGATATGTTCAGCTAGTTTCGATTTATCGATGTGTCTTTTCTTTATATTGTACCTACTTATGTTCCTTTGTCCTCACTGAAAGAGGTCTCTTGGTTTCACCTGTATAAAACTTTCCACAAACACAAGGAATACTGTAAATACAATTTTTGGGCGATTGTTCTCCATTTTTCGGCTTTGTTTGAGTTAGGATTGATCTCATTGTATTTTCAGTTTTGAACACAGTTTTCACTTGAAATTTATTACCAACACGTTTCATTTTTTCAGATATGCCGGGAATGTATGGTATTATATTTGTAGTTATTGATGATTGGTGTTTTTGTGGTTGACCCTGTCTCATTTCAATTTGATGAATCGTCCTATCGACAAAATTCGTTGACCGACAACTGACAACAATGCATTATCAGAATATTTCAAAGAATTTCAAATCCAAACCAAATAAGTTTTGTTTTGTTTTTTTTTCTATCCTCAATAGGAGGAGGTATGGATCATTGTGACCTTACAACATACACCTATTTGTTGTGAACTTCAATATCGCAATACTGAATTTGGAGAATGTATTTCGGATTTTGGGAGAACAAAAATGAAGAACCTACCATATGACAAGTGAATACCTGAAATAAAATGCCATTATATTTCCCATCATATTTTATTCATTATTGAGTGGATTCAAGTTCATTATTCTTCCCTCTCCCACACTCAGAGAAATTGATGGGTTTGATCAACCAAAGGAAATGAGCCTATCTGGTTTGATAATCAAATCGACCAGCGAACAATAGTTGGAAATATTTAGTCACCATACGAATGGAATTGTTATTTTGATCAAGAAAATTGGTTATCAACCAGATTTTAATCTCACAACAAAATGAGTGGTATGTTGACCATAATTTTTGTCCCTTCACTTATAATTTGTACAGATAGCCATAATATTTGGTTCACCAACAAGGTGCCTAGTAGATATAGGTATATTGACTTTTTTTCACGTTCTTGTATCACTGAATTAATACAGATTTCGAATAAACATCAAGTTTATTCATTACATGGTGGTCAACTTCACAGAATATCTACATTATAAGACTCTTCATTTGTAATTCCTCGTCTCCGTTATTTGAATGTACTCTTCCATTTATCTTTTATGGGACACTCAATGGACGTTATTCAATTGCTACCAAATCTTATCATCTTCTTCCTGCAAAAAATGTGTAGATTCGAAATATGAATTCACCATTGAATTGATTCAATTCATGAATAATACTCACCATCACATAATTACGAGCATCTGATGAATTTTCCTTATCATCATTATTGATTGGGAAGACTACATCAGTGGTACTCCTTGACGAGAGATTTCAAAAATTTCTCAATCTTCTTGTATGGTTCTGGTACTTGTCATATAGAACCTCCCTGGGGTTATCTATACTTTTTCTGTATTAATTGATCCAAAAATTGAAGAGAATCCTAAGAAAAAGAGACGAACCGAAGCAAAAATTTCATACAATGTGTTAAATCATCACCAAATTTAGTACTAATTAACAATTCGATATTGAATACAGTGATTACATAATCGACTTACCAAAATCACTTCATTGCAGAATACGTAAAACAATAATATGAAAATGATGTCGCCCTGCAAAAATACCAATGGGAAGATCACAAGCTCATTGTCAACCCTTCAAAGAAGGTTGGTTGATTTTAACCTACTGTTCGTTTGTCTACCAACTTTGACAGTGAACCAGCTGTAATAATATATTAGTTATACAACATAATATAGTTGAAATACTAACATTAGAGTGATTTGAAATAGTTGCAGGTTGACTTTACCATCCTTTTCGTCTGATTACCAACTCTAACAGAGAGCAAGCTGTAATGATATTTTAGTTAAAATATAAAATAGTTGAAATTCTTCATTCAGTTTGATTTGAAATACTTATATGTTGATTATAACTTCCTATTCGTTTGTCTACCAAATATAACAGTGAGCGAGATATCATGATATTTCAGTTACAGTTATAATGTTGTTGAAATACTATTCCTAGTTCGATTTGACCAATTCTCACAAATTATTGGTTGTATCACGAAAATAATATCTAAACCAACAAATATTTTTGGTTGACGTTGAATTTGTTCATGTATACAATTGTTCCTCAATTGTTTTGACGGTCACCTAATTATTGAAAGTACCATCATTGTAGTTTTATCCAACAATTATAATAATGTTGTTGACTGAACACATTTTTTTGTCAATTCAACCCATAATATTTCTTTGAGTGCAGGAGTCTTGGTCTTGGTCTTGAAAGTCAAGCCTTGGGTTGGTCTTGGGAAGATTCATTGAGTCTTGGTCACACAAAGCCCTAAATCGGACTACTTATCGACTCACACTGTACTTTATTATCGTTCTTTTGTAGGTTATCTGGGAAAGATAATTGGCCACCTGAGATACAGGACAGCGCTCAAATCTGACTCACGAGTGAAACTGATGAATGAAGTGATAACGGGCATTCAAGTCATCAAAATGTATGCATGGGAAAAATTCTTTGAAAAAGTCATCAATGCCGTGAGATATGATGAAGTTCGTGATCTCACCTCGAACTCCTATATCAGAGGAGTACTCATCAGTTTCAATATCTTCTTGGACAAAGCCACTCTATTTGTGACTATTATCACCTATGTGTTATTAGGTAAATAAGTACAGAGATTTTCATTGGTGATGCATCTTTCTGAACTTGAAAAAATAAATTGCACTGTGAAGAATTGTCACTAGAATTCATCAACATTAAAGTAACGGAAAATATTATTCCGATGAGTTTTGGATGCCCAGACAGCACAGAATATTCTATGAATATTCTGACAACGTTCAAATAAACTTATTTCAGAATATTCTTATAGAATGTTCTCAGAATGATCATAGAATATCCTCATCCTGCAGCGAATATTCTATGAGCATTCAAATCGACATGTTCCCAGGATATTATTCTCGAATGTTCTGAGAATATTACTGTACCAGCTGTCGACTTACTTGGTACCAAACACCGACAAACAGAATACATCAAGTCTATACCTTCTTAATGAAGCGGAAGAATGGTTGTCGATAACTGGTACATCTTTCACTCATTATGATGCCTCTTGAATTTTAGAAACAGAACAAGACTTACAATTTTTTGTATTCGAATATTAATAGTAGAAGAGAAAGCTGTACCATTCATCGACACCTATGTCGATATATGGTACAGATTTCGAAAATCAATGTACCAGTTATCGACAATGCGGAATAATGAATGTACCTATGTACTTATTTCATCAAATTTCAGATCCCAAATATATGTTAACAATAACTATGTTCATGCAGTAACCGGAACATTTCAAACTTGATCAATTCACCGATCTCTTAGCACTTTGGACAACGATTTGTTTCAGTTCACGTGTAGGGACAGAATGAGGAAATTGAATAGTTTATAGAATTTATATTTACTTTGAAGCTTTCAGAAAGAGTAGAAAAAACCTAAGTACTTGTTGCTTATCATGGTATGGTAATAGTTGAAGAGAGCATCTGCTTCTCATTTTTTTCAAATCTTGCTCAGAAATGTTGATGTTTGGGACAGTGTCGATAAATCAAGAAATTCACTCTATAGTCAAGGTCATCCTAAACTATGCTCGGGCCTTGGGCATACAATAATTCAGGTCTCTTTTGGAAAGTAGAGATAGCGAATTAAACTAACATGTTTCTATATAATGAACTTTTATCCATTATGACGCTGTGTGGTATTGTGTGAAATATGAATATGAGATAAACTGATTTGTTGTTTTGGTATTATATAGTCTATAGAGACCTACCTCAACGTCCTCAACTAACTATATATAGTCGCATGAACCGACTGTCAGATGACAGACGGGTAGATTGCCACTTGCTTTACAATACTGATAAAAAAGGGGGTTCGATCAGAAAATACATCGTTGAAAAAAGGAATTCTCGTATAAATGGCGCCAGAAGAATTTATCTTTGGCATTTTCCTGATCAACTCACCAAATTGTCCAAAATGAGGCTGTGTTTCAATGTTTTACGGCCAGGATCTAGTACCCAATGCATACCTATTGTATCTTACTACGTATATGAATCTAGATGTCATAGGATTCAAGTTCTGAAGAGTCCGCTAGTGACTACCCAAGTAACATTTTGAATGCCTAATAGCTTCTATGAGACTTCAAAGAGGTTATGTGAGTGCAAATGATAGGTCTAATTAGTTCTACCGTTTTATGAATGCTCTATTAAAAGCATATTGGCCTTCATATCCATATAATCCTATTGAAGGCTTTGAGATACTATGATAGAACTATCGCATAATACCATTTGGCATTCAGCTCACTCCGGTTCTAAGAGAGCTCTGTGAGTGTCATTGAGATTCTTTATCAAAACTATTCACCCTCAACAACCCTCTTAAAACACTTGAATTTCATTAGTGCCTCGAATTTGACTAAGAGGTTCTGAACTAATCCTATGAAAGTACGTCATAAAACCAAATTTACGCTAGGCCAAATAGAGGATATTTGACTGAGACAATAATGAAACCTAATGGCATTATTCTAGTTATGTGAAAGTAATTATCAAAACCTATAGGTAAGCCACAAGTTTTATTCAGAACCGTGTTAAACCCAAATGCCATAAGATAAATGTTCGTATTTTTGTTGCCTGAAAACGACTCACGTTGAAATGAACTCACAAGAAGATAAATAGTGTGACATTGAGAAAAATGGCAATTTCAAGCGAAAAAATAAAGAAAATTAGAGGACATTCGAATTGGTCAACGTGACAACCCCGCGCATGATTTGTGGGCGAGGTTTTCTCAGTTCTCAGCATTCAGCACAATGTTGCCAAATCTCCAACATTCACATGATATTTTGTTATGGAGAATAGGGAATATGTGGACATGTTGGTTGCTCAAAAAGGTCAAGAATGAACTACAATATCATGGGTTCCTCCCATTATGTTTTATTCAACAACAGAACTCAAACATCTTTCTGATAACTTGATCGTAATTGGTAACATGATAACCCTGATTCATGAGTAGAAATGAAAGATCATCTGACCAATAATGATACAGCATAAGAACAGACGTCACCATTTATTCGACGTATCGCCAAATGGCGGCCATGACGGTTCGTTTGGAATGAGCTCTAAAATTCAACAATTTCGAACAACGCAAAAACTAATATAGGTTCCTAACGACACAGTGGAGTAAATGTTTGCGTGTTCGAGAAAAAATTCCCTGATATTAATTGAAGCTAAAGTAGTATTCGGTAAGAAAATTTCACACCAAACATTTTCGATCAATTTAAAGGAATTTCAACAACACTTAGATGATTTAGTTGAAAATAATGGTTTCTTGTGATGAATCGATACTTCCACGGGAAATTTTCTTCGGAAATCTCTGCTATCATCCCTTCACTAGCAATACCAATCAGACGAACTAGACAAGCCCAGTCAGCACATCCCTTTGTTGTCAACCTCGAAAGATGTCGAACAGCACTTTATCAAGACTCCTTCATCCATAGAACGGCTAGGCTCTGGAATTCATTGCCTGTGGAAGTATTCCCAACAACATATAATCTCCAAAAGTTCAAAAAAAACTCCAATACCTACCTCCTGTCCCTATCCTCCCTAGGAACGCACGATGTTCTTTGAACATTATAGGGATTCCCTTTCGTGCGCTCCAAGCGATAAAAAAAAAACTATAAGGTATAGTAACAACATTAATTTCGAAATCGCAAGTATACCTACATAATATTATATGGTAAATTGTTGATGAATGATTTTTATTTTCTGTTTTATGGAATGAACTCGAAATAACCTGAAGTTGAATGTAAATGTCATTTAACCTATAAACGTCAAAAAATTTCCAGTGTAATTTCATGCTCCGCCCCTCAAGGAGGAGAAAAAAAAATTCCAAGGAATTTGTTATGCGACGCTATACCTATATAGTGGAGTATACTACGGCCTTGCCAAAAATGCTATCTTGGAAAATGATCCCCATCGAATTTTGAGCAACTTTGGCTTTTGTGTGTGGTCTGTCTGTCTGTCTGTCTGTGCTCTGTGGTAATCATAAATCGATATATCTCCTGAACCCTTCAACATATCGACTTGAAATTTCGCCATCTTATTGTACTCGAAACAATAATGAAGGGAATCGGACAACTCTATAAGGTGGTTTTTCCGGGTTTTTTCGATTTATCACCGGAAGTTTCTTGTAACCACTCTACAAATCGCAAAAGTGGTCCGATCGATTTCATTTTTTGTTAAAAAAAACTCTATCAGGGAGAGACGAAGCCTATTGAAATCGAGCAGGGTCGGAAAATACCAAGTGGGTTCTTCAAGGAGATTTTCCGAAACACACGGTTCGCTTTAAAATATTTTCTTCTGATTACCCAGTAGTACAGAAAATAAAGTGAAAAATATGAAGAAAAAAATTTGAACGGCCCATAGGGTACCATGGAGATATATTAAGAAACAAAGATCATCGATAGATGAAGCTCATCGACTTCCACTGAACCATGAGATATTTTTTCCTTTTGTTGATTGGAAGATGGAACAAAAGTGTTGATAACTTTATTCTCAGATAATTCCAAATATCTCGAAAACAACTGAAAATATCTGAAAATATTATGGATCCAAAATTATTCCTTCTGATAGAATCTACAAAAAATCCCTATAACATTTTTCTGTGAATTCAATAGTTCGGGAGATACGATGAAAAAACTAAAAAAATTACAAGTTCCTAGATAATCATTTGCCAATAGAAAACATAACAAAAAACAAAAGAAGGTAAAGAAAGCACACTCGACTGTCTTGATTATTTTCTCATAAACTACGTACCTAGCTCACTCGACTGTCTGGAGAAACCATGACAGTCGAGTGGGTTGAGTACGTAGTTTGTGGGAAAAATCTCTAGTTCTTTGAACTTTCCTAGCGTCGTATACACATCTTTGGTGCCCAATGATAGTTTCAATATAAAGATATGCTCATGACATGGTGCCATGGCCTCTACTTTCATCTTACATGAGCAATGATAAAATATCATCTGCTTCTATAGCGTCGTATAAATTATCTGACCTCTATACTAATCTACTACCTAATGAAAACTACATCTATACTAATCTGATACCTTTCAAAAACTACGTACCTCACATGATAAGTTGCTATGATAACGATATGGAATACAGGCATTGAATTGATCGAAAATGTTTGGTGTGAAATTTTCTACGGAATTGTTTATTTTCATTGATCATACATTCTGTTGAAAAAAATGCCTCGCCGCCTGTGATATGACTCAACTATATTCTTATGGAAACGAATTCCACTAACTTCATTTTTCTCCAATTATCATTCGTGAACATCGAATTTCATTGTAGATAATATACCTAACAACTCTTTCAGTTTTTTGATTTCTTCAAGTAACAGTGTCTTGTTATTATTTTCTGCCAGGAAATGTTATTACAGCATCTAAAGTTTTCACAATGGCCATGTTCTACAACGTACTCAGAGTCTCGTTATGTCTCACTTATCCACTGGCTATACGTTACGCAGCAGAAACATTGATTTCCATTAAACGACTACGAGAATTTCTGATATTGGAAGAAAAGCAAGCCACTGAGTATATACACGAAGAAAACCATCATGGCATATGTTTGTCGAATGTGACTGCTTCTTGGACAGAACATGATGATATAAAGAACATGAGCCTAGATATACCACATGGTTACATGTGTGCCATTGTTGGTGAAGTTGGTGCAGGAAAAAGTTCAATACTTCAGGTGAGAACGCATTCAATCATTAATACACAGAAAAAAATTTTTGTTTGAAACTACAAAATTTTTGTAAATGCAACAAAATCTGAGTGCCATATATCCACGACAACATATTTTGTCACCTCAACAAATATTTTTTGTCGGTTTTCAATTCAGAATTCATTTGATTCAACTCATTAATGATTCAAATCATCAGCAGGAATTGGTTGAATAAACAAAGACTATTTTGTTCCTATAATACAATATTCTGCTGTCATGAACGATTCTGTTGATTGGAATGATTATATCATTTCATTCAAGTGACAACATTTTCAGTTTTTCAGAGAGTGAATATGTTGAAATAACAAAATATATTCACCGATCAACAAAACTGTATTTAGAATTAACAAAATATTTTGCTGAATAATAAAAAAGAAATCCAATAACTGGGTTTCAAGACTGATAGAAATTAGAGATCAATTTTCTCAGTAGATTCCAGACTATTAGCTTGTATAAACGGGTGTTTTAGGTAAGTATATGTACACCCCAATCGAGGCGAGCGTAGGAAGGTTGAAAGAAACGCCACCTGGTGGCAAAAATGCAACTAGATAATCATCCAACAAAATATTTGTTTGATATAATGTTCTTGTGGGTTATTCTGTTCAACAAACTGATTTGTTCGAATTAACAACATATTTCTTGAAATTGATATGTTGAATCAACAAAATATATTGTTGTCATAATCAATTCAATTTTGTCGAATAAACGAAAACCTCTGATTGGTTGCACAATGAAATGATTGTTGACTCAACAAAATATGATGTTGTATTCAGTTAAATATTTGTGAAAATTAATTTAATTTTGTTGAATAGAGAAAATGCATGTGATTGATTGAACAATAAGATAATAGTTGGATCAACAAAGTTTGTTTTCTTTCAACTATAAATGTTATTGAATGAAATGAAACTTTTGTTCAAGTAAGCAAATATTTCAACCAAATTATTTTGTCTCTTTGAATAGGTTGCTTATTTGGATTGAATATATATTTTGTTGATCCCGCAGAATTGTGTTCAATTCAACAACAAATGACCAAAATTATTTTGTTGGTGCAACAAAACTTTTTTTTTCGTGTACAAACGAGAGGTCTGCATAATCCCTTATGAGTAGTGGTGTTCAAAGAATGTATGACATATTTATCATAAAATTCTCCGCGACGGAATTTGCACCAATGTGTTTAAACTATCAGATGCAGAAAAAATGTAGCTAATGGACGATGATAGCACATGTAGTCACTGCTTCATTGAGAGCGCTAACACCATCCAATCGCGACATGTTCTTACCATTCTCACTCAATAGCAATACGTTTTCTAGAAATGTGTAGTCAAGTTATTCAGAAATACGATATCCACTTACATACAGTCATATGCAGATGAAAAGACGCACAAGGACTGTAGGTACTTTTAGTCACTTTTGCAATAAGAGCGCAAATAACATCATCTAACTACAATATGCTCTTTGTATACCTACAGTAATTCTACAAAGGATAAAAATAGATTTTTGAATTCCAGATATTGGGATTTGAGCATATTTTGCTTGATAAAAATCGAAAAGAAAGGTGAAATTTTTAAATTCATTTTCATAAATATTTCAAACGTTTTCGAGAATGTGTATGGAATTTGAAAATGCATTCCCCATGGAGCACACCTCAAGCCTGAAAAAGTATATCTCGCGAGAATCGCTTCATTTTCATTAAATTTAAAAATTAATCGTTGTCATACTCCTGGCACTATGCGTTGTTGATTAAAAAGTAGGTACTTACTTGTTCATTGATGGTAGGTATCTATAATGCAGATAGTGCACATATACATATAATGCTTCTAATCATATATTATGTGGATTGATTGATGTGGAACCAGATAATAATATTCTGACGGTTTCGGGGTATCAATGAGTATTTTCCATTTCTCAAAGATCACTGAAACAGTACTGGTTAAGCGATGATATGGTCATATATGGAGTGATCAATAGGATCACAAAAAAACTCCATCCTATTAGATGCCTTTCATTGATACAGTGCCGGATTAAGCCGGCGCGGAGCCTGTAGAAAATGATATCAAGGGGCCCTTGGTTTGCTTTAGGTTCTCAGGTTCAGGATATTGAATAAAATGAAACAAAACTATTACGAATAATCTTTTCTGAATTTAATATGGGCATATTTAGAGATAACATTTCAATATCGACTTCTTTAAGCAAGTCATACTCTATTTTTTTTTCTTTCTATCGCTTGGAGCGCACGAAAGGGAATCCCTATAATGGTCAAAGAACATCGTGCGTTCTTAGGGAGGATAGGGATTTTGAACTTTTGGAGATTATATGTTGTTGGTAATACTTCCACAAGCAAAGAATTCCATAGCCTAGCCGTTCTATGGATGAAGGAGTCTTGATAAAGTGCTGTTCGACATCTTTCGAGGTTGACAACGAAAGGATGTGCTGACTGGGCTTGTCTAGTTCGTCTGATTGGTATTGCTAGTGAAGGGATGATAGCAGAGATTTCCGAAGAACATTTCCCGTGGAAGTATCGTTAAAAAAGTGAAAGGTCGCCGACCTTTCTACGGTGTTCCAATTGATGTCAGAGAGTGAGTGAGTGTGGCGTCACTCACCAGGCGAATGGCTCTTCTCTGGGTGGAATCTAAGAGCATCAGCGTATGTTTCGGTGCTGAACTCCATATGTGGAAACAGTATTCTAGAACAGACCGTATCTGCGCTTTGTAGATCATGAGAAGCTGTTGAGGTGTAAAGTAGCTCTTCGCACGGAACAAGAATCCGAGTTTTTGTGAAGCAGCTTTTGCGATGGATCTGACATGATTATCCCATGAAAGAGTGTTGCTGATGGAAATAGCGAGCATAGATATGGTGAGCTTTGTGGGGATGGTGAAGCCAGACATTACAATATCGGGCATACTGAGTTCCGCCTTTCTGGAGAAAATGCAGGCTTGAGTTTTGGTGGCGTTGAATTCAACTAGGTTGTTTGTTCCCCAGGCTGTGATTTCAGCAAGATCATCATTGACAGCATTGACCTGCCTGCGCCGTGAGTACTTAGTTTCTTGGGAAGGAATGGGAATTCCAGAAGGGAACGCAGTATGGAGGGTACTATCATCTGCAAAGCTGTGGATGGGGCAAGTTGTTACTCCCAACAGATCATTGATATAAAGCAGGAACAATGTTGGTGCCAAAATTGATCCTTGTGGAACGCCGGAATTGATGCCAATGGTATCAGACGATACACCGTCCACCACCACGTGAAGCGATCTGCCTGAAAGAAAACTCGATAAGAGATGGCATAGCTGAGGTGGTAAGCCGTATGATGGTAGTTTGTGGAGGAGTCCTTCGTGCCAAACACGGTCGAATGCTTTCGATATGTCCAACGCGACAGCTAGAGATTCCTCGTGTTTTTCTATTGAAGATTGCCATAAATGGGTGACGTAGGCAAGTATATGTCCAGTAGATCTTCGAAGGCAAAGGCCGTATTGTCTATCATTGATGATTCCTGAGCTATCCATTAATGTGAGATGATTTAGGCGTTCTTGGTCCATCGTGTTCCTTAACTCATTTTAAAAACGTCTTGATGTCACAGAAGAAAAGTTTGCCACTACAGTTAGTGATCATGACAACCAAGTGTGCATTCGCAAGGCAATTTCTACTTTCTTGGGAAACACGATTCTGAGGAATTATTCGATGGAAGTTCATAAGATTGCATCTTCAGAAGCTCCTCCAGAGGTTTGTTGCTGTGAATGACAGTAGCAAGATTCGTTTTCAGCAGCTCAGCGAACTGCACTAATTCGTCGCCTAGACTGGTTTCCACATCATCTCTATCAGAACTGAGCATTATTGAGGATTTTTCCAAAATCTCTTTTGTTGTCTGAGATTTAAGCTGTCGAAATACTCCAAAAACACAAGTTATTACATGATATGCTCTCATTCATTTAGTTGAAGCAGACAGTACGTTATCAATAATGACAATAATCACCTGAACTCAAAAACGTTGTCCAGGTGTTTGATTTTCGGCAATAAACACCTGAACTTCAAAACGTTGCCCAGGTGTTTGATTTTCAACAAAGTCGTCGAGTGTGGCTACAGCCGCTGAATTCGTCTTGATGCAAGATATTTCTCCTTATTTTATTTTACCAGTTAGACAGACCGGGCAGAAGTTAGAGCGCAGTGCGGCGCGGGGCCCCCCAATTCGCGGGGCCCGTGGCATTTGCTACTCTTGCTACGTGACTAATCCGGCACTGCATTGAGATCAATTTTGCATCAATGGGCAATTGATATGTTGTTTATAGTTCTTCCATTTTGCTCATGTGTCAACACTCGTCGTCAAATATGAAGTGAGCAAGTGGATAGCTCGGAAGTTATTATGAGTATATTTTTCAATCTCAAGAAAATCTTCGTCTGGAACTTCCAGATTTGAGAGGCAGAAGAAATCTTGATGATACGTCACTATATCATTGAGTTTTAGTTTTGAGCAATTTTCCTCTACCTTAAATCTGAATATAGGTTCCCACCCAACAATAATAATTGTTCAAGGGGATTCACAGATGTGATTCAAATGTAACTTGAAAATGAGAAATAATGAATGTCAATAAAACCAAATAGGAGTATCTGAAGGCAGAATGAATATCAAAATCATCTCTACGACAACCAATGGGGAGACATTGGCACTGTGAAATCGGTATACTTACCTGTGTTTCAGTATCTGGTTGATGTTCCGGCCAACCCAACCCAATTTCCTTTTCCTTCCACGCCAACCTCCCTTCTTTGTACAGAATACGCGATGATGAGTTCTCCTCAAGTAAAATTATCCGGAAGTAAAATACCTCTCCATTCGGATTTCCGGGCGAGAGGTAACATCCGAGGTCTAGGTAAGAACATCAACGATGTCCATCGACACTTTCAAATTGAAAAGCCAGACATATTGACTCTTACTGAGACACAGGTCAATTCATCCACCAATACGACCTATCTGCTCTGTCCTGGGTACGAACTCCACACACGTTTTAGATTCAAGGGAGGTCTCTGCCTCTACTCTAAAACGAATCTCTCATGTCTACGAGATAAAACTTTGGAACCAAACAAGTTTGATGTCATGTGGTTCAAACTCGATAGCCAGCAACAGACCAAATACCTTTGTTGTCTCTACTTATCACCAAATGATCCATCCTATGAAGAGCTCTTCGAATTCTCGTCTCTGAAGCTTGACCAAATTCAACAGAACCATCCAGCAGCAGAAATAATCATCATGACCGATTTCGATGTACACAACACTGCTTGGCTCGTACACTCTAACAGAACGGATGAAGCTGGGCGACAAGCCGAAGCTTTCGCCATCACTCACGGCCTAGAGCAGCTTATCAAAGAACCCACACGAATTTCCGATGTCAACAACCATTCAGCTAACATACTTGACTTAATCCTCACTAATAATTAAGCACCCTACACCAAAGATGTACGAGCTCCACTTGGCAATTCTGACCACACACTCATCTCCACAACCTGCCCATTTTTCATTCCATCAACTGCTCCGGCACCCCCACGTCTTATATGGCATTACAATTCAGGAGATTGGGACGGACTCCGCATGTTTTTCTCCGAGTTTCCTTGGCATAGAGTATGCTTTGACTCTGAGGACCCTTCAAAGTGTGCTGTGGAAATATCCGAGATCATCATGCTCGGAATGGACACATACATACCTCATTTTTCGAAAAGATCATCACCTTCGAAACCCTGGTTCAACAAAAACTGTTCTAGAACTGTTGCCTTGAAACAAACAGCCTACCATCGCTGGCGCAAAAACCCTAACCTCGCGACTAGAGCAGAATACGTTGATGCCAGGAATAACTGCAGCCAAACAATAGATGCTTCGAAAGAAACATACAATGCCAAGATAAGATCGAAACTCATAGATTGCCCCAATGACTCTCGTTCGTTTTGGTCCCTTGCTGAAGCGGTCGGAAGAAATTTCACTAATAGTTCATTTCGAGGTTCATTTCCACCACTGTCCAAATCCGACGGCACATTAGCAACAACATCGCAGGAGAAAGCAAATATTTTTGCAGAGATGTTCGCAGCAAACTCTACTTTAGATTCCCAAGGAAAACTGCCGCCAGACATTCCACCCCGTTGAGAGTCGAATGCCCGAAATCGTCTTCCGTCAACGCACTATCAGACGAATTTTGCTTGGTCGCAAAACGAATAAGGCTAACGGTCCTGATGGAATTCCACCCATTATCCTCAGAAAATGTGCACCAGAATTAGCACCGATTTTCTGCAAGTTGTCTACCATCTCGTACAGGTCGGGTATTTTTCCATCATGCTGGATGACAGCTAGAGTCCAACCAATCCCCAAAAAATGAAACAAGAACCTGCCCAACAACTACAGGCCCATTGCCCTATTATCAGTTATCTCCAAAGTGATGGAGAAAGCCATCAATATTGAGCTTATCAAATATCTGGAGAGCTGAGGAATCATCAATGATAGACAATACGGCTTTCGCCACCGGAGATCTACTGGAGATCTACTTGCCAACGTCACCCATTTATGGCAATCTTCAATAGGAAAACACGGGGAATCTCTAGCTGTCGCGTTGGACATTTCGAAAGCATTCAACCGTGTTTGGCACGAAGGACTCCTCCACAAACTACCATCATACGGCTTACCACCTCAGCTATGCCATCTCTTATCGAGTTTTCTTTCAGGCAGATCGCTTCACGTGGTGGTGGACGGTGTATCGTCTGATACCTTTGGCATCAATTCCGGCGTTCCACAAGGATCAATTTTGGCACCAACATTATTCCTGCTTTATATCAATGATCTGTTGGGAGTAACAACTTGACCCATCCACAGCTTTGCAGATGATAGTACCCTCCATACTGCGTTCTCTTCCAGAATTCCCATTTCTTCCCAGGAAACTAAGAACTCACGGCGCAGGCAGGTCAATGCTGTCAATGAAGATCTTGCTGAAATCACAGCTTGGGGAACAAACAACCTAATTGAATTCAACGCCACCAAAACTCAAGCCTGCATTTTCTCTAGAAAGGCGGAACTCAGTATGCCCGATATTGTAATGTCTGGCTCCACCATCCCCCCCAAGCCCACCATATCTATGCTCGGTATTTCCATCAGCAACACTCTTTCATTAGATAATCATGTCAGATCCATCGCAAAAGCTGCTTCACAAAAACTCGGATTCTTGTTTCGTGCGAAAAGCTACTTTACACCTCAACAGCTTCTCATGATCTACAAAGCGCAGATACGGCCTGTTCTAGAATACTGTTCCCACATATGGGGTTCAGCACCAAAACATACGCTGATGCTCTTAGATTCCATCCAGAGAAGAGCCATCCGCCTAGTGGGTGACGCCACACTCACTCACTCTTTGACATCATTGGAACACCGTAGAAAGGTCGGCGACCTTTCACTTTTCTATCGATACTTCCACGGGAAATGTTCTTCAGAAATCTCTGCTATCATCTCTTCACTAGCAATACCAATCAGACGAACTAGACAAGCCCAGTCAGCACATCCTTTCGTTGTCAACCTCGAAAGATGTCGAACAGCACTTTATCAAGACTCCTTCATCTATAGAACGGCTAGGCTCTGGAATTCATTGCCTGTGGAAGTATTCCCAACAACATAAAATCTCCAAAAGTAAAAAAAAATCCAATACCTACCTCCTGTCCCTGTCCTCCCTAGGAACGCACGATGTTCTTTGAAAATTATAGGGATTCCCTTTCGTGCGCTCCAAGCGATAAAAAAAATACAATTGCGTACCAGAACTGTTCTCTCACTAATTGCACATCCGAATATTATTTCTTGTTGAATATACTTTTTAACAATGAATTATTGATTTTATTCAATGAATCATATACTATTTACTATTGTTTAATGACCCATTTATTCGATTCGTTAAACATCTCACTAAATACCACTATTAGAGGATTTGTTCTCATCGTATAAACTTCAATTTTGTTCCACTCAGACTTGGTAGCTTGTAATATGACTCTAGCAAATATCATTAATAAAATCACTCCAGCTCCTCGTGCAGAATGGAAGTTCATCTCATAAAATAAAAACCCCTTGTGGTAATACCCTTGACAATATTCTTGACATTTCCAACGACAATTATAAATACCATCCAATTTCTACAGTAAACTATAATCGAGACTATAATTCTTCGTCTGATCCAGTCATGAAGTCTGATTCAATCATGAATTAGTCATACGAATACAAATAGTGATACTATCGATACTGAAAATATATTCGTCCACTGACATACCAGCTTGCTGCTTCATTTCACTCATGACACGCTGAGGACTCGATAATTTTGGTAAACAATGTCATTCACGAAATCAAGTCGTCTCAAGAATATTTCCTGCAGAATAGTATAAATCGTATTTGATAATGGAACATCAAAATCATTCTTGAACTGATCCCTCGATTTCTAACCATTCTTTAGCTGCTTTTAGGTGAACTGCAATTGAAATCAGGTACCTTCTCCGTGGGTGGCGATATATCATATGCATCCCAAGAACCATGGCTTTTCTCATCTACAGTGCGAAATAACATCCTGTTCGGACAACCTTTTGATAGAAAATGGTACGATCGAATCGTTGAAATATGCGCCCTCAAAAGTGATTTCAACCAGTTTCCTCAACGGGACCAAACCATAGGTAAATGCTTTAATATGTTTGTAAGGGTATTCAGTCAGAAAGTCAGTCACCTTGTTAGTCAGATAGTTGTTCAGTTTCTCTGTATATTGAATAGTAACTAAGTTACTATGTGGCTAGTGTGGCAAGTATATATATAGACTTTGAGTAAACAAAAATATCAGTATTGTGATTGTGTCATAGCACTCGGAACATCGAGCTCAAGCAATATCATATCGAAACTGTATTGAACTCCTGGAGTTCCTGATTGCTAACAACATAGTTACTTCTTGGCTATGGATAACCAGACACCTGGGGTGAAGGGCAACTAGGAAACCAACATCCTCGCTAGGAATTAATCAAAATATCACGTACTGATCTGAATTACTAGGGAGGATGGTTCTGAACCAAAGAATAGACTGTGTTTTGAAGCTCTATGAAAGACGAAACAGCTGAATACATATCATGTTCATGCTCTTGATTAGAGATACTAAGGTTCAACACATTTAGTTTCACCAATTTTAACAAATATATTTCTGAAAAATCTAATATCAGGCAACCATCTACTTTGTAGAGAGAAGTGTTTTGTGTAGTGAACTGTAACTTTTTGTAGTTAACCAACCAAATTTCTCTTTTCACGAATTTCATCAAAATCAATGCTTGATTTCCCAGAAATATTTTCCATTACCTGAGTCAATATCAATTGAGCAAAATGATGTTTCCCTCGAGTTTTGTTGAATGGAATATTTCAGTTGAATTTCAGATGCCGCTGGCAGATTCGAATACTAACCCACAGAGATAATCAACTATGAGGAAAAGCGGCCATTTTGATAAAGATTCCGAAATTGCGGCTATCCAAAACAGCCTTCTTGTTATTGATATTCCTCAAATCGGTCGCGTTTTTTAGAAGAATTTGATTACTTTCGAATCAACTATTTGATAACCACATATACCGTTAGATTGATTGCAAATGTCTCTTCCTAATAACTCACTTCTTTTGATCCATAACTCATGGAACATCTTGTATACAGGTTATATCGAAGAAATTCCCTGTATATCCAAGCTAGAGCCCTCATCTTAGGGTCAGCTGTATCGCCAAAAGCTCTTCGATAGTAGACATTCTACTGGTCAAGTGCCTAGCTATTTCTAGGAAATCAGAAGCAGAGTTGGAAATATTCATCTCAGTACCGATGGTTAGCCATTATCTTTCTTTCCTATGTCGATCTTTATATTCGTGTTGGTCAAATATGATGCTCCAGAAAAGTGCTCAGGCTCTCAACAATGCTCTTTATCGGAATGTTTCAGTAGGTAGTCAACGATCTGCAAGTATTGCTTGTAGTAGTATGGTGAAGATTTGTACAAGCTGTTTACACGAAACTGATCGATCAACTAGAGAAACTTTGTATTTCGTGTACATATATCTTTATTTGATTGTAGAAATATAGCTGGATATTCTGCCCTCGTGAAAAAGGATTGCTGATGGAGGTACTGAGCAGATAAAGTGGCTTGGTGAGAATGTTCGTGGAAGAAATTGCTCAATCAGGCATAAGTAGTGAGTTCTGCCTCAGTGTAAAAATACAGGCTTGAGTTTTAGTGGTGTTGAATTTGACGAGGTTGTTGATTACACAGGCTCCATAATTTCCGCAAGATCTTCATTGACAGCATTGACATTCCTATGTTATAAGTTCTCAGTTTCCTGAGAATAGATGATAATTCTAGGAGAGAACTCAGAATGTAGAATTCTATCATCTGCAAAACTGTGGATGAAGCAAGTGATTACTCCTAACAAATCATTGATATGAAAAAGGAACGATGTAGGTGCCAGAATTGATCCGCGTGGAACGCCAAGATTGATGGCAATGGTATCAGACAATACTCCATCCACCACAACATGCAGCGATCTGCCTGAAACCATTGCTAGGTACCTCGTGGAGGAGCCCTTGGTGCCAAACACGGTCGAATTCCTCCGATATATCTAACGCCTTGGCAATAGAAAGTTTCTTTAATGAAGCTTGCCAAATATGGGTGACATTGGCAAATAAATCTTCAGTTGATCTTCGGTGGCGAAACTACGTTCCTAATTGAACTCAGAAAAATATACATGTTATATCGAGGGAATACCCTAAAGCTCCATATTGAAAGGTGTCCTCATCTCAGAATCAACTGTTTCGCCGAAGGCTCTTTGATAGTTGATAATTCACTGTTCCTCTACTTACTTTCATGTATCGATGTTAGCCATTATCTGTCTGTCCTATGTAAATCACCATCCCAGTATTATGTGGATATGATGCTTTGAGAATGTGTATCCAGAAAAGTGCTCAGGTTTTCAACAATGCTCTTCCCATCAGATTTTCTCAGTAGGTAGTCCCTGATCTGAAAGTATTGCTTGTAGCAGTATGATGGAGATTTATACAAGTTGAATACACGAGACTGATCTATCGAATGAGTTTTTTTTTCATTTCGTTCAAATATTCATTTTGTTGTAGTAGTATAGCTAAATCGAATACCCCGAAATTCTAGAGAACCTCCAAGTTATTACTATCATTATAGTTGGCGAAAGAGGAGTATCCCTGAGTGGAGGACAAAGGGCAAGAATTAATCTTGCCAGAGCCATCTACCGGAAAGCAGATATTTACCTCCTAGATGATCCATTATCTGCCGTTGATACTCATGTGAGTAGGCATCTTTTCGAAGAGTGTATTGAGAAGCATTTGAGAGGAAAAACGAGGATTCTGATAACTCATCAGTTGCAGTATCTCCAAAGAGCAGATTTGGTTGTAGTTGTACAGGATGTAAGTATTTCGTAATTCGCACTTGATGAAGTATACACCAATATCATTCAATTCATTCATTCATGACGTCTTCCTCAGGGACAGATTCTGGCCCAAGGCACATACGACGAACTTCAAAATAGCGATATCGATTTCACCGAGATGTTTTTGGTTTCTGGATATGATAGAGGAAAAGCAGAAGAAGACGAAACTAATATAGCAGGGCATGCTAGATCATCAAAATACGGCAGATTTTCTAGATCTGGATTCTCAAGATTATCTCATTTGTCAGATGTGAGTTGAATTGAACCTTTCCTATGTTGCGTGTTCTAATGACCTTGATGCTTGTCTCTTCTTCAACTTCTGAAGTGAGGTGGATATACATGGCGTTATTAATAAATGTGACCAAACTTCAGAGGGCGATCATTGGGGTATCTCTAAGACGAGAAGTTTTCATGAACATATGTCCTGAAATGCTTCGTTTTCGAAATACAGGATGTTGAAGTTGAATGTTTCGATTATTGTTTTTATAATGGCAAAGGTAAGTTGAGTTGATCACTGGAGAAGTCTGGAAATTTCAGAAGAATACTCGTTGAGGTTATTGGGTAGTCCTAATGGGCTTTTGGAGGTGCCCTACATCAAAATTCTCAATCAAATCAATTTGTCATTAGTTCTCCAGGAACTGAATGATATAAAAAAATTAATAGGAGGCAAGACATTTGTATTTCCGATTGTTCAATCTGATGAAAATATTGAAATTTGAAAAAATCGTGACGTAGGTACCTCATGTATCATGGAAATATCGAAAAGGTTACCCACTGCGACGCTATCGAAATCATCATTCTTCATCTTATTTCACCAGAAGGAGGTTGACCTGTAGTTCGAGAACAAAGCTTTCCTGGACCTGTCTTAAAAGCACCATAATCATCATGAAAATGTTTGATTCTTTCAGATATCATGTTCAGATGTCAATGTTACCGATAATGAGATCACGAAAGAAGAAGTAGCAGTACTGAATAATAAATCCGCATTCCTGGAATATCTGAAAGCGGCCAACAATAAATGTTTAGTTGCGGCTATGATTGTAATGATGGTTGTGGCACAGGCTTTCTGTTCAGCTAATGATTTTTGGGTAGCGTTCTGGTAAGTTTTTCAAGTTAGAGAAGTCATATCGTTCATTCCTAATAATTGTTTGACAAATTAGGTTCATCAATAAAATTCATCAGAGTTTGAATATTGAGGTGAATCGACCAATCCAATCATTTTGTACTTCACTAAACGTCATGAAGAGTAATTATTTACTCCGAAACTGAACTTCAAATGGACAAATTTGAATATTCAAATGCATCAATTCAGATTAGATATTTCTATTCGATCGAAAAATATGAGGTGATCTAAAGTGAAAAAGTTGATTTTGCTCAGAATGCATTCGAGTCAGTGTTACTCAGCTGTGTGCACGTGTAGATATAAAAATAAGTGAACAAAATATTGTGTTTTGTGCATTAAATACAACATTTTGAACAATCATTTGAAGAACACATTTATCTGGATGGAGTATAGGTTATCTATTAAGCGTAGGATGCGAGTTTTATTTTCATACCAGATAACCTTATTGTAGCCAATATAATTTCACCTGCCCCTAGGTGCTAGGTTAGGTTAGGTCAGGTTCCATGTGAGAGGGGAGGATACCGTCCTTCTACTGCGACGCCAGATGGGTCTATAATGACGTACCCCTAGTGGTTACTGTACAATCCACAGCTTCTTTGGAATTTTATGATTGCATGGGGTGAGATTTGTCTGAAATCGATAGGTTCTGGATTGGTTGAGCAAGACATGTCGAATCTGAGTCTCTGAAAGCAAGATTATGATCATAATATGTTTCAAGCTGTTTCATCTTCCACACAGCAGAACCGATATTCCCCTTGTTGGTTCAGATGTATCCTCCTTAGGTGGTATCTAAGACGACAGTGTTCCGTGATCAGTCGTGTCAGAGTTCGCAGGTTACCCCTGCGTTATCTTAGAATCTGCCTGGTTATATATTTCGATGGTAGGAACGCCTTCGAATGGGTTTATCCTGATTCTTTTCACCACGAGATTCTTTCCCTCTCAACTCAGTCCGAGATGTTTTGTTGGCTGCACTTGCAGTGACCCCAAAGTATGGTTCTTGTCCTATGAACACAGATTTGGTTCCCTGTTTAGCGAGGATATTGGCTTTCTCGTTGCCTTCCACCCCCTGATGGTCAGGCATCCACAGCAAAGTAACTCTATTATTAGTAACAAGGCATTCTTGGGATTCATCGAAGTTCTATACAAGCTTGAAATTTATCTTGCTAGAGCTCAGTGCGTTGAAAGCAGCCTGACTGTCTGATACAATACTGATGTTTCCGTTCACTAGAGATCTATTCGTTAACAATCACGATTGAATTGCGATGACCTCCACTTGAAAGACTGTAGAGATTTTTGTCTTTGGTTTTCTGCTGAACACACCGGCTCCGACTACAACTGCAAGCTGGGAATTCGAACCATCTGTGTACATTACGTGTTCGATCTCTGATTTGTGTGAATACACAACCGTCAGTCTAGCAGAATAGAGCTCCACGCCAATCTCGCTCGAAATAATTTGACCAGGACAGGTTTGCTACACTTCTATAAGAGGGCAGAAAAGATTTCGTCGTTCTCCGAAAATTTCAATGAGGAGAAATAATTCATTGCTCATTCCACCGACTCTGGGATGCCTTCTAGGCATTTTTCCAGTCCTCCCTTGTGTGTCGATCGATCCCATTGAAATCAAGATTTTCTTCTAGTTCACCAGAAGCATACTGCCAAAATAGTGAGTCTGTAGAAATATTTCTATAATGTTCGTCTACCAGAAGCCATGCGGTCGTTTCATCGAGTTGATCTCTTCGGACGGATCTCTGGCGAATGCCACGTGAATTCTTATGCTTGCAGGTCCATCTGATATACTCTGATGGGACCTCCGTCAGGAATCTCTTTTGGCTCTCCTTATTATCTGTTTGCTATAAGATGTTAGAGATGTGCGGTAAATGTCACAGCACCCAGTTTATTTAGCCCGATTGAAGAGGCGTCAAAATTATGGTATTCTCGTGTACAGGCTCTTTCTCCACCTCTTTGGTATTCTTTTTGCTTCAATGGGCGGTTTGTTCGATAGGCTGTTAAAATTACGGTTGCTACAAGCTATTTCTGATAGTATTGATACCAGGATCCAGGTGCTCTCATAAGAAGAGGCAGGACAAGTAGAAATATCTTCCTCTTGCCACAGGTTCTGGTATATCTCGTTCTTTTTGGCACCTCACCTCAAAGCGGTTTGTTCCCCTTGCCTTAATTGGTCATTTCGGTTTTGTCGGGAGTTTTAACTGGAGTTCCTTAGCTCGCATTCTCCTCCAAAGCATATTCATCCATATTTTTGAGTCTTGTTATTGTGCCCAAAGATGCTGGCTCTGATCCATATTCCGTTTTTTTTTCTTGTTTTTGGACCGAAATTGCACCTGTCCAAAACAGAAGTGGACCCGCTTCAATTTCTCAATGTATCAATCATCCATTGAGAATGTCCATGTCTGTCAAATACCTAGGCTCTCCTTGTGTAGTATAGTCTACTTCTAGGTTACGCAGTGTACAGTTTATTTCACGTATACGATTTGTCAACTGTTTTACTGTCAGTTCGAGTTGCCCTTCATCATCTGAGATGAACTCGACGCAGATGTGTGGTTGAGGTATATCGTGTTTCTTCACCAGCTTCAACTTGTAACATTCTCATGGCTGAAGGAAGCATGACACTTCCTCTCGCCACTAGGTCGTCACCTCGTCGACGCAGGTGAGGTGGAGTAGTCCAGGCAAAATCGTGCAGCGCTGGAACCAGACTTGGGGACCATCGTCTGGTAGTTTGTCTACAGGGGTCATAACGAATTGCTGTAGCGATGGAAACTGGTTGTTCGACAACTAAGCATCCGTATGCTCAAGGTGGATTATGCTCATTTCCACTTCCCGCGCTGCAGTTGCAAATGGCTTTCTTATTATTATTTTGTTATTTGGGGCACTCCATGGTACGAGGGTTTTTTCCGCCACCTCTGGGGTGCTGCTCTGTGTAGGCGTTCGTTTGCTGGCGAGAAGTGGAAGGAAATGTTTTATCGCCATTCTATTCATCCAGCTCTTTCAGGAATTGATCCAAAGCGGTCTTGTATGGAACTCCGCTCTTGATCAATCGGCTTAGACGTTTTTTCGTTGCGCCGGCAAATCTAAACTCATTATACTGGTTCAGAGAGGTCATCGCCTAGGTGATTCCTCATTCTGTTGGGTCGCCTTTCTTGGGAGTAGGTGATTTCAAAGGTTGGTCTCCTGCGAGATTTCAGTGCTTGGAGGGTTGAAAGTGGATGCCTTCATCGTCACTGAGTTCTGTGAGAAGGAATTTTCCTCATCATAAGTGTCAGGTTTTTCTGTTATTAAACTCATTCTGTTTCAACGAAAAGCTACGAAAACTGATCGGCGGCAGAGCCTTGCATTACTGCCGCAAGGCAATAATGTACTGCTAGGAGGTCGCCTAGTATCTTAGAGGCTCCGTAAGAGATAGCTGTTTTGTCCAGGCATAGCAACCATACAGGTTCATATTCTCCTCGGCACAGGTCGTGTAACAACTTGAGGGAAGCCTGAAAATCGCGGTAGAATTGGCTTGAAGCAGACTATCCTGTCCTCTCTAGTTTGATTATGAGGAGAATAATCAAAGCTAGGAATGCTATGGCCGCTATCCTATATCATGTCCTCCGTTGATCTGCGGGTTCATATGAAGTATATTAAAAACGTTTCATGCCAGGTAGGAAGTTTCCTATCAGCAGTTGGGACGCGCCTTGTTGACGTTGAGGACATCCTTGCTTGGTTAACTACTCCTGATTGAGAGCCTGTTCGATTTGTTGAGACAATAATGCGCCATGCACATGATCATTCTTTTTTGAATAGAGAGCTTGATATGTGATTATTCATAACCAAGGAATCTTGAGTCTTGTTAGCTGGAGCATGCCAATGTTTGTATCAATGATTGTATATTCTTTATTGATAACCAAGGAACCTAGGAATCTTTGTTTTTTCAATTTCCAGTGCATGTAGTATATCGTGTGCCTACAGTTTTGTAGATCAAATAAGTGACTCAGTCTTGTTAGCTGGAGCTTGCCAATGTTTGTATCAATGATTGTATATTCTTTTTTGATAACCAAAGAACCTAGGAATCTTTGTTTTTTCAATTTCCAGTGCATGTAGTATATCGTGTGCCTACAGTTTTGTAGATCGAATAAGTGACTTCCGATTATTTTGATTGGTTCATCACAATCATTGATATTCACGCTATCAGAGAACAACGACTACACATCGCTGCATAATTCTTTTAAGCCAACTCCGATTACCGATTATAGATTTGTACCATTTACGTGGCGCCCCCTATATCAAACTGTAGAATCATACATAAAATACTACCTGTATGGAATTATGCTCCAGTGCCGAAGTCCAGAACGATTTATAAATATACAGTGAAATCATCAGCAAATAAACAAAAAAAAAAACAGAACACAACTCCAACGCCCTGTATATTTTTCCACAGCGATATTCTATGAAGGCATATATGGTTTTCTCGCCATATCTTGGCATAAACATTCAGCCCTTTGCCTAAGTCCCAATAGTTATGACTCACCCTGTATGGTTCCAATTAATAATTGACAATTCGTCAAATCATTGAAGCATCCTCGGGTCCGAATTCTGATATGATTTATTATCAGTGGAGAAGTATTAACTGAAATGGTATTGGATCAAAGTGATATCTGATTCAATTTTATGTTAGTATATTCCAAATATTGTCTTTTCATAACCGATCGTTGATTAAAATTTATAAATCAGTTTCTTATTTTTGTTTGATGCTCAGACTTTTCAATCAAATGATCAGTCATCCCCAAACCTAGAGGAAGAAGTGTGATCTCTGTTTGACCTTGCATTTGAGATTTGAACATCGAACATATTCATTGCAGGACTCAACAAGAACATCTAAGACACTCAAGCGATGAAAAAGGCCATATTGAGTTCGTAACATTGTCGAACAACACAACAGAATACTACACGAGTACTGTCTCACCATCTGAATTAAACGATTTAGTCAGAGTAGGCAACAGTATACATTACTTACTGAAGACTAAATATTTCATTTATTTCTATACAACACTCGTCGCAGCAGCTGTGGTTACCACTTTGGTGAGATCATTTGGATTCTTCAAAGTCTGCATGCTGTCATCCATCAACCTACATTCGAGTATGTTCCATGCACTTCTCAAAGCACCGATGTATTTTTTCGAAACTGCTCCTAGTGGAAGGATTCTAAATAGATTCTCGAAGGACTTGGGCGCTATCGATGAAATGTTGCCAGAAGCTATGATGACTGCAGCATCGGTATGAATTCAACATTCATCATGCTTATCATTCAAGAAAACAAATAAACGTTACTTAGGAATAGTCCAACACAATGAAGGCATTGTGATATCCCATACGGAAATAAAATTGATGACATACAAAGTACCTCATTGATGTATTGAACACAGTGGAACAAGTGCAATTTTGTGTCATAACGGTTATAGCCGTTGAAAAAATTAATTCCTGTTGTGTTAGAAACAGTCCAAGAGCCGGTTGCAAATTTTGGGTGTCATCTGATAATGAAATTATTCATGTCATTCGACACCAAATCCACGGCGCACCGTTTTATTTGCTGTCATTATTCCAGAACATACTGTCGTCATGTGATAACGAGTTGAAACATGAAGTGAAAGAAAGGAATGTCTCCTTCCGTTTGCTTCCACCGTAAATCATCATAATATTGAATAATCAGAACTGTTATTCGTCGGAATTGTACTTTCAGAGAACTGTATTCTGTCGAGACAATAAAAAATCATTACCCTATTCCGTAGCAGCATCAAACTGAGAGAATCGTATTCAGATAATGATGATGTTCCACTGTAACGACGAATTACGGTTCTGATGAATTACTGACTCGATGACAAACACTCTAGACATTGAGTTTTTGACAAGATACATTCTCAAAATCAACTGCTGCTATGAAATGAGGTTTTGTTAGATCACCATTCCTATATAATACGATTCTGATAGAATACCCTCCCGAACCAATAAGATTATGATGAATCACCGTCGCGATAGAATACGGTTCTGATCAATTACTGTATTGATCCAAGACGGTTCTAATTCTAATGGATCACATTTTGACGATTCACGGTTACGATTTTTCATCATACATTCCTACGAATGTTTAACAATTCGAAGGATAACATGTCTACAGAATACAGTTCCTGCCAATTACGTTTTCAACGAATGTCCTTCCTTATATTTCGATATGTTATTTTCTGAAGTTTTATGTGCCCCCCTGTGTTTGCTTTCCATTATCGTCCAGAGGGCAGTGGATCAACCCTATAGTCCGCTAATTGTATGACGATAGACCCTTGCGTGCAATAGCTCACTAATCTAGACTTTCGAGGATGTTTTTTCATCTCTTTGTTGATTTTAAATAATCTTTCCGAGCTGATAGGATTCATTGGTTGAATATTCACTTATCATATCACGAGAGCTTCAATTATTTCCTGAATTTTCTGAATATTCGTGTTCGAGAAGAAATTCCCGGATATTAATTGAAGTCAAAGTGGTATTCGGTAGGAACACAAAATTACTTCGATAATAATGATTTTTGATGGTTTCAACATTTGAATAGTAGGTTTTGTATGTTAACTCAAAAGAATAATAAATTCTTTTTATTTACTTATGTCATTCTTCATGTCAAAACGGATGAGTAGATATAATATCATAGTGTTAATATGAAAATGATGGTTGTTTGTGATGGAATGACCCTAGAATGTAAGAGCTAACGTATAGTAACAACATGTGTTTTTGTAGATTTCGGATTTGCAAGTAGACCTACATAATATTATATGGAAAACTGCTGATAATTGATTTTTATGTATGGACTTATATAGAATAAACTCGAAATAATCTGAAGATGAATGTTAATGTCATTCAACCTATAAACGTCAAAAAATTTCCAGTGTTATTTCATGCTTCGTCCCCTAAGGAGAAGACAAAAATTTCCTAGAAATTTGTTCAGTTGCGATACGAAATACAGGTTTTAAATTGATCGAAAATGTTTGGTGTGATATTTTCATCAAAATTTTGGATATTGTTTTTCACCATCAGAGAACTATTCATAATTTCCAACATGCTTTTAGCGATACCAATAATTTATACATATTTCATAACTTTTCAGGTTCTACTTATCATGTTGGGAGTCATTGTCAACGTAGCTATATCCAACCAATACACATTGATTGGACTAGTCATATTAGGGATGATTATTTCGAAAATCATGTCATTGTATTTATCAGTTGGCAAGTACATCAAACATCTAGAAGGTTCAAGTGAGTAGAAAACTCCTTTATCATAATTTGGTTTATACAGGCTGATTTTAAAATGAGTGAATATATTCAAGACATTTATATGAGAGAGTCTAACAAAAATTACTGAAATATTTGATTTTTCCTAAGTCTTCACATCAACGAGAAATTTCATTTTGAAAATTGAACATAAAATGCTTCGAAATTCGAGTACGCCACTGGGAAGCAAGTGAAATCTGCGGAATCCCAGGGAATCCCCAATTCGTCATTGTCATTCACTAACGTCAAAACAAGACAGTGATGCCAGATTGTTTCAGAGACGAATATCCTGATAAAATTTGTCACAGAATGAATATGAATTGGAATAGGTTATGGAAACTAATAGAGGTGAATGTAATATAAACAGAAGCCTTATTTTTTAAAGTTCACTAAGAGAACTGTGGGGTGATTATCTCCATGGATCACGAGAGACGGAGAAAAACATGAGGGGAATGATAGAACGTCCCCCTTCCTTCAATTCGAAAATAAGGCCCCAGCGGGTAGATACAAAATTAGCAGACAATAAATAGGTACACAACATACACAAAGTTAAAAATCGACTCACCTAGTAGATTTTCTCATACCTGCTCGAACAGCAAAACTCCCGAGAGCAAACAAATACTATTATCGAGTCCATTCCAGACTAATATCGTCCTGTGTTATTGTTGTTTCATATTCGCACTTAAACCATCGAAAACGACTCGACGACGACATATCCTTCCTGGCAATCTCACATTGAAAATCAGGATCACGACCATATCACGATTATCACGACACAAGACACAACATCCAATTATTTTATTTTTTATTTCAGATTTACAATTATGTAAAAACTTCACAAACGATAAGATTTTCACAAAATTTATCAAACACACGACATGTTTCGCTAACACAGTAGCTTCGTCAGGTGATATACTGGTACAATGAACTATCACCTGACGAAGCTACTGTGTTAGCGAAACATGTCGTGTGTTTAATAAATTTTGTGGAAATCTTATCGTTTGTGAAGTTTTTACATTTATCATGGATTCCCATCAAGTAATAACGGCCGAGTCAATTCAAAAAAGAAAAAAAAAAGTTTACAATTATTTCACAAACCAGCAACCACACAAAGAAAACTATTATCATATGATCTGTCAACATCATTTCTCAGAACAGTAGTATCTGTGACCATAGATTTCCTCTTTGCTGTGACCTTTGACAGTACTAACTAGGATTGTTCTCGTTCAGAAAATAAACAATCCGTAACCGTCAGAAGCATGCACAAGTCCACAGAACCCAAAAAAATCATACAGTTCTGTGGAACTGCGCATGCTTCTAACCGTTTCGGACGCAAGAATTCAGATGACCATGAATTACTAATAGGCGATTCCTACGGACCAATCAGAAACAGCAAAGTAGCGCCTGCGTGGTTGTGATTCATCCTGATTGGACACAGCTGATTGGATTTGTGAGATTAGTGTATTGTGAGGAAGTATCATTTCATTGAATTAAACTTAATCCGAATGACGGATAGAACAAATTTTAAAACTAACAGAAAACAAAACAAAATTTTAGATGTTTTTTCCAAATTAGTTTTTTATGAAAATGGTAGTTTCTATCAAAGATATGACCCTTCCTCACTAATACATTAATCTCAATCACCTGTGCCCAAACAGGATGAATCGCAACCACGCAGGCACTACTTTGCTGTTTCTGATTGGTCCGTGAAAGTCGCCTATTAGTAATTCATGGTCATCTGAATCCTTGCTGGTAGCACACCATAATAACAATCGAAACAAAGATCCTTCCTTGACAGTTTGTTGTTCTGAGAATGTATGTTATTTTGGAAAACGTCAAAACGTGATACTAGTAAATGTAATGTTTTGTTTCTGACAATTTGCTTGGAATGTGACGATGCATTTCTCAAACATCGGGCTGAATGATATGGTTCTTATGTCGTCTCGAAGGCCTCGTGATAGTACGAGAGCCGACTGAAAATTTCGACCGTTATCTCATAACGAAATGATATTTGTCCAAAAGAAATGTTGAAACATTGATTCATCAATCGGCACCTGTGCCAATCACTATCCTGAACAAAATGATTGTAGAATTGCGCACTTGCCTGTGCGTAATTTCGCACCCCATTCCACGATTTTATAACGAGATGAGGATTATGCCACCCGATTCCACTTGAATGGTGGATCTCAAAAACCGATCTTTGTCACCCCTCAGTCAGAGTTGAATCCACGGCACAGAGATTCATTTGCTGCTATTATTCCGGAAATACTTCCGTCATATGATAAGTTGGAACTAATCGTGAATGACAGGAGAAAATGTCGTCTGTGCAAATATCCGAACGTGCTGCGATTCAAACTGTTCTAAGTTAGTGGCAGAGCGTCAATATTCCCGAAAATATTTCGCCCTTTTCAAAAGATAGTATCCGATGGACCAGTGTCAAACTAATGAGGTGCTTGCATTACAAGTATGCTGATCTACATGTGATGTATTATTTTCTCCAAGTTGTCCACGAAGATTTCAGCAAGTAAAGGGCTCAGTGGATTTCCCATAATCAACCCTTTTGACGCGGAATATATTTTGTTGTCGAATTGAAAGTAATTTTGTTTGAGACATATCGACAAAAGGTCTTATATCTCTTGTTTGATAATCGGATTAACTTGGTTTTCATCTAATAACTGCTCAATCAAGAGTATGGTATCTCCGGGAGGTATAGTTGGAAAAAGGTTTCGTACATCAAATGAAATGAATTTTGTGTTGTCAGGTAGAGTACAATTTTGAATTTTAGTTATCAAATCATGGGAATTCCTCAAGCCAAATTCTGATTGAAAATTACAATAGTTTTTTATCAGCGTTATTAATTTTTCTGATAGTTTAACTGAAGAAGCTGTAACAAATTAAACTACTGGGCGATTAGGATAATTTTGTTTGTGTAATTTAATGAGAGAATAGTTTTGGAGGTTGAGGATTTATGATAGTCACTCTGAATTTTTCGGTTTTCTTAAACATCGATTTAGAATTTTTCAAAAAGTTTTTCATATGTAATTGGTGAGAATTAGTAGGATCACGTTTCAATATGCTGAATTCCCCTAAATTCTTATCTTGCGATCGACTCACCAGACGAAAATTATTACAGTATCCAAAGTTGAAAAACGTACAATTATGCGTCGAATGGTATCCTTATCTTCCTCATCCCCAGATTCATTACGTCGCTATCGTCATTCGGAAAATATCAAAACTTTAAACGGAGCAGAATTATAAGATCGATCTATCTCGAAAATGGTGTTTGCTATCAAAACTGAACAGGAGTACCATTTATTAGTTGTAATGTTGAAATTCACATAGTTACTCGGCAAGCTGCTGAAAATTCCATGAACAAAAATGTATGGAAAAAAAGTGCCACAAGCTTCACTTATTTCCCATGCTCCTGATAAGAATTTTGGCAAATTCTCACAATTTCCACAAAAGTTAGGTGTAATTATAGAATTTGATGGTCATTTCATCACACAGAGTTTCGGAAATTAGGTATTACATAAAACCATCATTTCGGGTTCTAGTTCAGATAGATATAACCTTCCTGGTAAACCATTTCTGGACCCATGTTTTTATGAAAAATTTTTCACCAATCTTGTTCCTGAAATCAAGTTTTCATGAAATTCCAGGACAATCTGTATATTGATCCAAAGACGCATTATGAGTGCCCACTCAACTCATTATTTTATATGCTTTATAACTTGTTTTCTATCCTGCAAGCTATTCACGTGGAGTAGATAGCTGTTTTTAAATCACAGTCGTCTAAGAGTGAGTATATTATGATTTTCCACAGAATTTTGTGAAAACTGTCTCTTTTTCTAATGTCGATATAGACCTAATGAATCTGAAAATAAGGAGTATAGATACTCCATTCGCCGCAAAATTCTATGCTCTTCAACTTCAAATTATATGGAATATTTTTTCTAGTGGGTCATTTGCAAGATATGAGTAAAAAACCGAAAAAACTGCAACATTTTGATGTTTTCCGCGTTTTCTGACCAGAGCCTGTCCTGGTACGACGCATCAAAAATCAGATTCGCTTCTGGGCCCCATGAAACACATGATCCCGTTGAGGAATGTTCGACCAGATTGATGTTTTCGAAAAATAAAAACATTTGATCGGACTGAAGAGTTTATTTCGAACATGAAATGAGAAAGGATTGATAGAACGAAAATATTGTGACTAATTAGTCCTTGAACTGATGACGTCTTCTTTGATTCGAATGTAATAGTATATTCATGAGCAGTGTGTTTGATTTGAGAAGTTTATTTTCCGAAACATTCAACCAATTTCAGAATTCAGTTCTAGACGAATCTTGATGAAGCTCTGTTCGACAAATTTGATATTTGGATTTTCGAGGCCTACCTACTATGATACGCCAAAGAGGTTGAAAGTTCGAAACTACTCTCCTCCTCAATACCGATATATCACTTTTCCACTCAATAAACTCCTTAAACCGATTACTAACTTTGTCGATAATGAGTAAGGCTGTTAGCCCTAGGACCCATATACTCAACTGGTCTCAATTCGCTACTGGAGAAGTGAATTATTTTTCTGAAAATTCACGAGACACGTTGACGATTAACTGTATTTACCTACATTTGGCAAGCAATAAGCAATATGTAGGAAATAGCCCTTCAGGGGTAGCAGGAATCTATCTACACATGTTTTCTCAAATACAACCCGATGAATTGCGACCCCTCATTGGAAAAGTGGTTGAAAGAGAAATCCAGCGTACTGATCATATTTCAGTTTGGGGTACGGATGAAATCAAAATAAAATTTCGAAGTTTAATATATTCCCTACGTAATCCTTATGAAAATTTCGATTTTCAGATACAGTGATATACATAAATAGGTCATTTCCACCAATTTGCAATAACACTTCGTTTCGAACTAGGAATACAGCAAAAATACTGAATTTATATTTGCAACTCAATGAAACCACTGGAATACAATAGCAGATAGCAGTGGTAGCAAAAATATGCCATCAATTATTCAAAACACATTTTCAGCGATTGATACGTTGAAAAAAAAAATGTCCTAAATTACTTTTCAATTTTATGCAACCTCTAAATCTATGGAAAACTGAAATTTGACTATGCTGGGTTCCTCTTTCCACCATCTCTTCGATGGAGGGTCACTAGCCAAAGGGTTACATTTGAAAAAATAATGTTGAGGATGGTTTGAGCCACTCCTGGACATCAAATCGTCAACGTTTATCGGGGATTTCCCGAAATAATATTCACCTCCTTGCTTACGAATTTATTCCAGTTGGAGTCTCTACACTCTTTTCAATCTGGAGGCCACGATACAAGCTCAGCTTATAGGTGAGCTCAGACTGTTAGAAATAGGAATGATTATGCATATTCCTATTCCTTATTATTCATGTATGTATAGGAACATCATTTGTCAACCTGATATCGAACGATCTATCTATATCAAATCTATGAGGAATTTTTTATGTATTGAAGATGGAATAGAGAGTATATAGATATGTTGGTTCATATGGCTCCTAAGTGAAATTGGTGGAATAGGATAGGTGGAATAGGATTCTGGAAGCGTTTCTGAGCAACATATATTATACAATATTAGGCCACAGTAGGCAATTTAGGAACACTAAATAGTAGCAATAGCTTTGAATTTTCATGTCATTTAGGAGTGGTTTTGACTGTACTAGTACACTGGTAACAAAACATAACCATAACCTATGATCTTTCGATTTGCGATGGTTTTGTTTCATTGGTTTCTATTTTCATTATCATTAATTATAATTTTCTTAGCGCACGTTTAAATTATGAATGGGTTGATTCATTACATTATCTTAGACCTATTATCCGATAGTGATTCTGATTCATCAGAAACACCAATCTCAAGGTCCTCTAGCTCCACTGTAGGGTTGCCATCTGTCCAGCATTTCGCAGGACGTCCTCAATTTAAGGTAATTTGTCAGCTCTTAGACTATAACCAGTCTTTACTTCATTTGCTGCGAGGCTTTCTGTTTTCGTGATCTTGTTCCTTCACCGCCAAAGCAGCAACCACACTGCTTACCAGCAAGGATGCTCCATCATGATAAACAGACGCGAAAAAAAAACTGATGCGTGTGTGTGTGGACTCGACGGACAACGTTCTTAAACGACGTTGTATTCCGTCGGTTAAAAATGGCAGAGTAGAACGAAAAATATAGGACCCTTAATAGAGAGTTGAAGTGTTGTCATGAACGTTAACGTAAACGTAGAAATTGACAGCTACGCATGCGCATTTTCCAATTTTTCACGTTTGCGTTGTTAGTGGGCTTACGGGTGTACGTTATCTCACGTTCCTTCACGTATACCTTGAATATCAACGTACGTTAACCAAACTATACTCGAAATATGCCGATGAGTCAAAATTATCAAATTCGAGATCACCAACGAGTTCTGCATCAAGGATTCCTCTAATTTTGACAGGAATAAATGTTCGAATCTAAACACACAACAAAAAATGACCAATACAAACCGAAAACAAAATGTATTATTACGTTATGATGACAGTGACGACCAAAGTGGCGACTTCAACTCAATTTAACGACAATACGTAAACGTTATTTTTCGTACGTTAACGTCTACGTGGAGGTCTACGTACAGTGATTACTTCAACTCTCTAATATAACTTGCTCATTCATGCTTCATTTCTATATGTTTATTTCAGCCAAGTCACCTGTTCTTTCTCATGTTAATACAACATTGAAGGGTATCACTACTATAAGAGCTTCGAGAGCAACTGCTGAATATACTCGTCAGTTTGACGAACTTCAGGTAAGTCCACTAACAAAACGAATGAGGAATCACAGAGAATGATGTTTGTATTATAGGATTACCATACTTCAGCATGGTACTTGACCATAACATTCACATCTACATTTGGCCTTTGGATGGATCTCGCGGGTATTATTTTTATCGCCATCACCACTTTTAGTTCTGTTTTCCTCCAATCTGGTGAGTCACTTTCAGTTTGTGATAATATCAATCATTCAGATTCACCATTCACATCCTGGAAACTCCCAGAATGTTTCTGAGGTATACAGGGTGTTCTGAAATCACATTGAAATATTTCAATAAAAAGAAATAGTGAAAATATTTCGAATAAATAGGTGTCCAGAAATGACCGCCTGGGGGCGGTGAGTCCGAGATAATGTTTTTTGTAAATATTTTCGTTACCCGCTATATCATGAAGGAAACCAAATAATGAACATGCACTTAAATTTTTGTGCTTGAAGGGGCTAGGAACACTTCATTCCCCAACATCTTTTTTCATGCAATTTTTGGCAGTTCGACCAGGAGATATGAGGAGATCATTATTTTCACAAAAAAATTCTACTCCTGTTGAGTTTCGATAGCACTCAACATTTACGAGGTGAATCAAGTGTAAAGTCTGTAGTGTAAAAAGAATAGTTATCTACCTTCTTCATACTATATTATTCTTCTAGTCATTCTTCTTCCAGCAACCGACACATAAAACGTCCATTTCGATATCATAATTGGCTCTTGAATTGACGTTCCTGTTACTGACACAAACATAGGTATGTTGCTAGGCCACACTTGGAGTTCCTAGGAGATGAAGTTGAACTTTGGCTCCTTTGAACTGAAAAGGATGGACTAGGTTATCAGGAATAAACAACATTATTATGGTTGGTTGTTCTGATTGGGACTATACGGTGTGTTGGGACGCATACCTGATTTGTTTCTGATTTCGGCAGATTTGGGACTGCATACTCATGCTGGAGATATGAATCTACCATGTTGAAGTTAAGTATTCATGTTTTGATCAAAGAAGCCTTCAAGATTCACATATTTGCTTGATCTTTATTTCACCCATTCTCGGGATCTCATTGATTAGATATATTGTCCTTGAATAATCACGGCCGGCAATACTTTTTTGTCTCACACATCGATATTGTTTATCTGTAATTGATTACCGAGCCGAACACAGTGGAATATGGAGAGAAATGAATAATCGCTATTGTTATTGTTGGTTTGCTCCCTAACCTAACATTTTCCACTTATTTTTCTTATACCTGGCACTGGCGCTCTATTTGCTATTAGGGCTGACACCTGGTCCGAATGGATTCATCGATTCGATAGAACGGATGATTCGAACATATTCGAACATTGAATCAATCTGATCTGTAAATGCAGGTAGAATATTCTCACCACATGGACTATTTGTTGCACTGCATACATATGGCACGGCATCCACGTTTCGGGTATAGTATTGAAATCGTGGTATTGAATTCGTGCCTGTACTGGCCTGTTGAATCTGATGACAATGTCATAATGCATGTCAACAGAAATTGTAACAAAGTTAATTAGTCTGGGGTCTTTCTTCTATTCACTTACTCTCTAATATTATTATGATGGCATTATTATAATATTCGGTCAAGTGAGTCACATTGGTAGTTACATCACATATTCATTTCAGTTAATTCTTTCGGTTGCAGACAAAAATAGCATGTTTCATTCGGATCGAAAGTGACTTCGTTACGTACAAAGTCACTTCTGATCCTGATAGAACCATCAACTATTTATTGCACCCTTCATAATTATGATCAAACATCATGAATAGGAATTTGAAAAAGAGGTATTACCCATCAAACCATAATTTTTGTGAAAATTCGGTAACCTGTTGAATAAAAACTCACTTTTTCATGACGCAGCAGAATTTGTATATCGATTTATCTCGAAAATTAAAAAAAGTAAAATTGTGGAGATTTACATATTTCGGAAATATTCGGTCCGATTCCTCACTATTGATATTTGGTATTCCATATAATTGATTATTGCTATTTTTCTGTTTCTTTAACATCTATTTAACCTAACAATTGATATACTCTACATGCACTCGGTTGAGACATTAGAATCAGTTCAATCAGTCCTCCTGATAGAATCCTCGTGCAAGTAAAGCAGCAAGTATCTGAAATACTAAGCATAAATATTCTCTAAGGACCCTCTCTTCTTGATATATTACAAGAACTCAAATCAGACTTATTTCCACATGAAGTAGAATGAAAGTTGCCCACCAACGTTTTCTGTGGTTCTATCAATGGTATCGAAACCTCTAAAACTGATACTTCTGGCATGTGATAGATTTCCTGAAATTCAAGGATAGATTTGTTGGATCCCTGTAAATTTTATTGTTTGATGCTATATTTCTAATGAAATGAATATTTTTTTATGTTTTCACAAACAATTCGGTAGGTATTCAATTCTTTCTTGTCATAGAATTACCTCTTTCGCAATATTTAGCACTAACAGGTGAACAATATTCCCTTGGAATAGTGCCACATTTTTTTATTGAAAACTTTAGCTGCTCCACAAATCACCAGAAGAAGCTGGTGGATATCTGCCATTATAAAAAGAGGAATAAACATGGAAAGTTATTAATTTACTCTCTATCTATGCCTTCCCAGGTAGCACATCATATTGGCTGGAACCCGATTTCATATTGGGCCGATATAGATATATCGTACATTTGAAAAATAATATAGGTCCAATATGAGAGTATATTGGACAAACAATATTGGAATGATAATATTGGTGGAATATTGGTTCAACCTGAGCTGAATATGGATTGTCAGCTACAATTTTGGAGCAATATAGGTTGTAAAATTCGTTACCCCAGTAGCACGAATCTTGGCTGGATATTGGCTCTATATTGGCCCGATATTGGCAATATTGGGCCAATATAGGGCCAATGCCCAGCCAAGATTGTGTGCTACTGGGGTAACAATGTGTTGAAAAACATATCTATGCTATATAATATTGTTTTACGAATGTCGATACAACAACATCGGATACATATTGTTCCCGACATTTACAACCAATATTGCAATTCGAACATTCTCCCCATGTCGATTATGAAGCGGTTATGCAATATTGTGTAATCGGATTCGACGGCAAATTGGATGAATATTATTTCAATTGATATCATGCGGAAAATATCGTATACATATTGTTTCCAACAATCATGACCAATATCGCAATTTGAACATTCTCCCCATGTCGTTTCTTAAGGGGTTTTCAATGATTCAAATATGGATATCAATAACAGCAATTCAATATATATCTTATATCGGACATAGAAGAGAAAAACAATATTGTAATTTCAAGTTCAATTGCATATCGGGTGAATAGTTTTCTAGCAATATTCAGAAAATAATATCATCTTATATTGGCTGATATGTGATTCACTATATCATGTGAGCAATATTGTTCACATATTGTTTTGAGAATACATATCGATATCGAAATTTCGATATTCATTCCATATTACGCACTCTCGAATCGATGTCGATAGATGGCGCTATGATTGGTAACGTACTCCCATTACCGATCAGACGAGAGAATATAAATATTAGCTCTAGACGATTGTGAAGTATTATAACCTGGAGTAGGGGTTAACCGTGATCAACAAGGAGGCTTCCCCAATGCAAGGCCCTTTCATTGCACTCCGGCTGGGCTGACCTTTGTGATTATTCCTGATGCGAATAACTCGCAAATATTGGTAAGAAAATATTCCACCAATATTTTGAAGACAACATAGCTACATAATGATTTTCAATAATGTACCAATATTTCCAACCAATATTGCACCAGTATTGTCAAATGTTCACTGTCCATTTATCAGCAATATTGATATCACATTTTGTGACCAATATAACTTCACGAATATTCCAGCAATATTGGTATGAGAATATTCTACCAATATTTCTGAGACAACATACCTTCATGATGATTTTCAATGATTCACCGATATTTCCATATATTACACCAATATTGCCGAATGTTCACCATTAATTTCTCGCCTATATTGATATTACATTTTGTGTCCGATATAACTCTACGAATATTCAACCAATAATTATATGAGAATATTCTACCCACATTTGAAAACTGATATTGTACCAATATCGCCGAATGTTCACATTTTTTTCTCGCCAATATTACTTTCACAATATTTTGCCGATATTTTCGTAATATTGCACCGATATTGTCCCAATATATGTGTGCTACTTGGGTTAGAGGATCAAAACATCTGTAAGTGGTTCAAATAACCACTGACCTTCATTTTAACCACCCGAATGACAGTACTTGAAGTAATCACGCTCTTACTGAATCAGACCTATCACATAAAACCTACTTTTCAGGCCACCCTTACGATGACTATAACCTCCCAGGGGGCCATTTTCGGACTAATATTTACATGGAATTCGTTCGCTATAATATATACGTGAATCTCTCTGTATCTAATTACCTTGATGAAAAATGTACGATATTCATTCTAGTGAACGTTATGGAAACAAGTTTGGTGGGACTAGCGATAAGTCAATCGCTCATCATATTGGGAATGTGCCAGCATGGTGTGCGTTTTACTGCAGAGGTTATCTACCAACTTACCAGCGTCGAGAGGGTAATAGAATACACCACTCTGGAGCCAGAGGAAACATTCGAAATATCAGAAAGTATAGTTATTTATCATACAATGGATGGATGTGTCACATAATACAGGCACTGAAAACTGTATTATAACCTTACATACAAATTTTCTATAACAATATCAAAGTCATAATACTCTTTTGCTCGGGAAAACTGTATTTCGTCCACACATGTTGAGTTTCTTCAACAATATTAACTCCATATAATACTATTTTGTTCGGAGAAGGTTAATGATATGATACTGTTCAACCTTTGCTAACTTTGAGAGTATATTATATAGGACTTGATACTATAATACTAACAATATCAAAGTCATAATACTCTTTTGCTCGAGAAAACTGTATTTTGTCCACACATGTTGAGTTTCTTCAACAATATCAACTCCATATAATACTATTTTGTTTGAAGAAGGTTAATGATATAAAACTGTTTAACCTTTGCTAACTTTGAGAGTATATTATATAAGACTCAATACCATATTCCATGTGAACAGTGTTGTTTAGTAGGAAGAAAACTTTGAGAAAAAATGTATATAATACTGTTTGGCTCTGAGCGTCGGAAGATAAAAAAACGAGAGCTCATAGAGAAAGGTCCCATAAACGTCAGCAGGGGGATTCTGTTTAACGATAGTCGTTTTTCGTATTATTCGATGATGAACTTGAAGTCAAATCCATTCCTATTTCTTGACCAAGTCACCAGAATAATTCTGTTCATCACCTCTCAGAATCAAAGAATAAAATTCTGGACCACCACTTTTGTATTACTTCTCTCGAAGTCAATCCCTAGATATACTGTTTCATATGATTTTGAGTTTATTATTACATCATTCATATCTTGTCATGGAGGCAATCAATGTATATACCAAGAAATAGGAGTGGGATTTCAGCTCAATACTATTTTTAATACTATTTTCTGCTGAAGAGATATACCTACAATTATCAACATGAAACGAAAGGACACATATAAATAAACACAATGATCCTCAATCAAGAAGTTGGAAATTTCCTCCAACAGACCTCTGATTACAAATTCATGATTGAGTCAGAATTTCCTCAGAACGTCAATTCATCGTACCACTGACAAACTATATTTCTTGTATACTATGTATTTTTTTGTTTTTGAACTCGAAACAGAAGCCTTCTCATTTTTCAGAAACTATAGTATCACATTCATGGCCGAATGAAGGACGCATTGAAATCAAGAATTTATATTTGAAATATTCTGAAAATGATCCGCCTGTCCTCAAGAACCTCAACTTTACTATTCAACCAGGTCAAAAGGTAGAGTACCTACTTTCATCATTAAGGTATTTATTGGATTATCTACTTGTGATTTTCGGTGAGATTCATAACTCCGGCGTAAGAATTATGATTGTTTTTAAAAATTGAATGGGATATTGATTTTCATGATACCTACTCACTTAATACCAGAATAAGTTATTATTTAATCATTTCCCAATCGAAATATTCGGAAAACTGTACACAGTATCGAATTCTACCAAGAGTGCCTATTACAATATGTTTTTATATCAGCGTCGTGGTATGTTTTTCTTCAAGCGACACTTAAAAGGCAGGGGGAGTTTGTTGCTATCTCGGTTGCTATGCAACGTTCCAAGTGATAAGAATGAAATTGGTCATCAAAATTGACACTGACATTGGTTGAACAGGAGATGATGGAGTTTTCGATAAAAAAGTTAGACAAGATTGGTCTCATAACATCAGGAGAAAGAATAATATGTTCCACACGGCAGCAGCAAATGTAGATTGACTGCCTTGGCTAAGTTCCTTGCTACGATCGGTTATGAACTATCAGCCGCGACAGTCAATCTTATACTCTCCTGCCTAGTGAAACACATGACTATGAATTGTTTGTTTGTAGAAATATATAGATTACTCAGGAGTTTCATCATTGTAAGTTCTACAGTGAAATGTTTTTTCGTCGAGATGGTTGACATCTTGTATGGGCGTCTTATCTCACATTCGATAGTGTGGAAGTCCCCTCACTCCAGGATATACCAATGAACACATCATCCCGTTTTTGGGCTCATCTGACCGATGTCTCCCACGACACTTAGGCCTTGTGGCCCATTGTATCAAACCCACATGCCGTTATCAATTTGACCATTCACGACTCATGGTGTTTATTCATGGCCACTTTGATATCAAATACACTTCTCCTTCAGGTTCCTGGAGATTACTCTTCCGATCCATGTTCTCGTCTACAAAAAAGGTCAAAGGTTCTCCTTCTCCTACGGGTGACGGATGAAGGACTAATTCCAGCCATGTGGCGCCTTCTGCACAGGGGTGAAGCCGAGGAAGCTATTCACTCTGGAATATTACCCTGTTTCCCAGAAGCTTCGTTAGCGACACCATACCTCGGTGTCCACGGATTCCCACATCTTTTATACTCATTAGGTTTTTGGAGCCTCGTTAACCAGTCCTTGGTCATTGAGACGTATATCAGAATATCGCCCTATCCTTGCCACAGATGTCCACAAATTGTCCCATCTGCCCAGGAGATAGCGAATATGATAACAAAATGCTTCATCTGTCGAGTGGCGCTGTCTGACCTCCACACACCACTTGATGGTAGTGATGTTGGGCTTGGAGGGAAAGAGGAAAAAAGAATTTGGCCAAGTTAGACCGAAACGATAGATTGAAAGAAACAAGACAAAAGATGATATGACCCAAGACAAGTTGAAATATGGTGAATATCCGGCTAGGGTACGTCGGGTTCAGCATTCTCGTACTCACAAGTTGTGAGGGGTCTACAAAAAGATGTTTCTAGGTGAACATGGAATCGAGCAAACTGAAGTTCAGGATCATCATTTTGGAAAATCCAGTAAACCGTTCTTCACACACTTCACCACAAAGTAACTTGTAGAATCGTCTCTATTGATGAAAAGCTGTCGAATATAACAGAAATATTATGACAGAAAAACACTCAACGACTGCAAGGAAATATACTGATACTTGATGTGATCATAATAACATTTTGGCGAAATGAAAGGGGAATTTGAGATGATCATGCTTAGATCATGTGTGAGATCTAAGTGACAATGGGAGTTTTCATGCATCGAAAGTTTTTGGTTGTCCTAGAAAGATCTACCTGTAGAAGTTACATCGATCAAACTTACCTAAAAACGTATCTAAGTATTCGATGTGTGTTTCTTTCTTCAACTGACTACTTCACTGGTTATATCAACTTCTTAGATTTTGATGCAGGGTCTGCAATTTCAATATAAATTTGCCGTTGAATATCTAAAACTCCAATTCAAGAGCGTGTTGCGGTTTGAAATCGCACACACTGTATGCTTGTATTATCATGATTTTAACCTACTTCAAAAAACGTTGAAAATGAATTGGGACTTTATACACTTATCAAAGACCGAAGACAATAGCATGATTCAATAGTTTATTTCGATTATTATGATCAGGATCTATAGGATGAGAGTATTTTCATCGATCGAAATGTTGGATTCTAATCCGCCACCAAAATGTTGAATGTTTCGTCACTGAAATTACGGTTTTTTTCCTCCAAATGACTTTTTGCAATGCTTCTCATATGCAGAGACACGGCAGTGTATCGCACCAAGTACTCGTATGGAAACAAGTTTCTGGAGAAGAATAAACGGTTACAACATCCAAAAAAGGCAACAGGCGCGCAAATTACCAATAGGTTCCACTGCATGGCGGTATAGTTGAAAAAAAAATAAGAAACCTAATTCTATGGATTTTCAATCCAAACTGGAGAGGAGTTGAAAATAAAATAAGTTTGTCGATGAATACACAGCATAAGGAATGTTGTGTATTCAACATCACAATCATATTATTATTTCACTAGCCGAGTGGAATAATTCAGTTTTATTTCTTGAATAGAAGCATCGTTCAAATACCTTCCAATTCCATATCATTCAAGAATATTCAGGTCGTTTTTTAGGTGCTGAAATCATCAGTAAAGCCGCAGTAATTTTCAAACTGCTAGAAATTTACCGCGAGTAAAAACTGACTGCACGATTTCGTAAAAAGGGGCGGACCATAGCACGCAGTTGCCATGTGTTGAGATTCGATTGAGAACTTCAGAAATATTAGTTATTCAATGATTCATGAATTCTCAATTATGTCTCAGTGATTTTCCTATAAAGCAATAAAAATCAATTGTCTCAAAATGTTTCCTTATGATTTGTGGCTTATTGCTTTTGATGAATTTGTGTACCTGAATATAAGTTATATCAATATACACTAGAGGACATCCGAATCAGTGAACGTGACAAAATGATGCACGACTTGTGAGCGTGGTTTTGTCATTTTTGAGCATTCAGCCGTTACCACCGATACAACAAGGCCAGCAGACTCTGACGTGAACAACACGTGACGTCATCAAGAGAGGCTAATGTTTAATTTTATCGCTTGTCGACTAACGCGTCAGTTCGTGTTAATTCATATTCACGTATGTTTTTGAAACGGTCCCGAATACTTTTGTTGTTTATTCATCAAAATAATTGGCAGAAAAATTACTGTTTTGTGAGATATTTTGTGAAATATTTTGTGTTGTGATCGACGAAATAACAATGCCTTTCAAGTGTTGTGTTCCCTTTTGTCTGGGGAATTATGTGAGTGGTTCAAAAGTTCATGCTTCTAGTTTCCCGTTGGAAGAGGAGCTATCGAATATGTGGGTATATGCAATTCACCGCGAGGATTTTTCTCCATCTAAGTTCAGTAGTAAACAGAGCTTAATTTATAATGATGAATTTATAATAGGAGACAATTACTCTCTCATAAAAAGTATAAGTAGAGGAAAAATAGAAAAGCTTTGATTGTGCATTAGTTTGTTTTGTATTCGTATATCATAGTCAACAAAATCATCTCTGAATTCGAGGAAATTAACTTGAATGTTCATAATAAACGGGCATTTTTAATTCTCATTCTCAAATTTCTTTCTTAAAACGGTCATTTGCCTCGTGGCAACGAATGCAGAATTCATTCCAATGATCAAATTGCAACTATCACATTAACATGAACTACAAACACTCTACTCAAAAAGGTAAAATTGCATTTATCATGATATTTATCATGAAGATATTTGACTAAAAAGTTTACCTTCTTTTTCACCTGTCTTCTGGATGGCATTTAGAACAAATTTCCCTTCTTTTTTTATCATATTGGACAGTTTATATATAATTCAACTATAAATATAATTTCCTTGAGATTAATCCATATTTATTGAAAAGAAGGAAGAATATCATTCAAAATAATGGCGTGTGTAATGTCATCCGAAAGCAATCTCGTATTTTGATTGACTTTTGATTAAATGGTCGTCATCTGGAATGCTTGTTCACTAAATATGAAAAACTCGCCATAAAAATTATATTTCCTGTTAGATTTCCTATATAAAAATGTGCCATCGAAGTACATCATGAGCATATAAAGTGTCCAATGACAAAATAAGAGCAAGAAGCTTCAAATGCCTCCAACACAAGGGGAGAAAGAAGGCGAAATTTTGAACTTCTTCTAGAAATATATCAATGAATAGTTGTTTGTTCACATTCAAATTATAAGATTCGGTTTATCAGACAAAAATACGTGAGTACCGAAAAAAATTTCCAAAAAAAAACCATCGCATGATAAATGCAGTTTCACCCTTAAAAATTACGGTTTCAAGTGTATCGATCCACTTGGGTGAAAAATCCAACAACAGAAAATTGAGAACACTCACTGGTTATTTTTCCAGGTAATAGGAATTCTCCAGAATAAATATAGGTAATTGTAACAAACGGCATGTCAATCAAAATAAAATACATTTTCCACAATTTTCTTTGGATAAATCTCACGATGAGTTTATGTTCTGCGGGCCCTGTATAAGTAGGTGTGAAGTTTACCTTCACCACAATTTATGCCAATATATTTAATTCGAATGGGTTGCTGTAGGTGGATATTTGTGTTTTATCCTGGTTTTTGCTTTAAAACTTCGTTTTTCCATAATAAAATCGAATGGGGTGCGAAGAAGGGCTCAGATGACGACTGGCATCCTTTCTTAACCGGAAGCCCTTCAAAAAAGCAAAATCGGCTCAATGATGATCTAAAACTGAAATCGAAATACGCGGTCGCCTTATAGCGCTATGAGCGCTTGTCGTTTCAAGCCGCTGGTTAGGCCTCACTAAGTGACGTCACCTACGGAGCATGCAGGCCTTGTTGTATCGGTGGTAACGATTCAGCACAATGTTGCCAAGTCTCCAACATTTACATGCTATTTTGTGATGAAGTATAAGAAATATTTGGAGATGCTGGTTGCTCGAAGAAGTCAAGATTGAACTCTAATATCATGAGTTCCTCCTATTATGTTTTGTCCAACGACAGGACTCTTCCATATTTCAGATAACTTGATCAACATTCTCGACATGACAACCTTGCTTCATGAGTGGAAATGTGGGATCATCTGACAAATAACGAAATAGCATAAAAACTTACGTCACCATGTGTTTGACGTTTCGTTAAATAGTAGCAATTAAAATGTACTTCAAAATTCAACAATTCCTAACAACGCATCGACTCAATATTTACAGTACAGTAGACTAATTAAATGTCAATAATTCATCATCAATTCACTCGCCCATAGGTACATTTTTTCAGATGGGGTATCTGTTTTTTATGTGTTCCTTTTTTCATTGCTATGATGGAATTTGAGTTCGCATTTGGAGAATATTTCTGGGTAGTGGGATTATTATATAAGCAGTCTAGATAGTAGATGACTAGTTCGAAAAAGTTTATGTCAGCTATCAAATCAATATTGCTAGCGAATGTCTTCTATACCGTTGAAGAGTACTCTTTTCAGGATCCGTAAATGATTTGTGTGAATGGTAAAGAGCGCATGTGAGTATGAACATATGAGGATGGATGATTGGTAATCAGTTTGAGTGATAATAAAAATTGTTAAAAACTTTCAGGACTCGTCCTATATCATAATTGTATGATCTTCTTGGATAATTAAATGTATTCCATTCTATTATTTTCATGTTATGTCGGTGGCCACTATTGACCATATAATACTGATCATCCAATTTTTAATTCCAGATAGGCATCGTAGGCATCGTTTCGGTTAGCTCAAACAAAAGGCACCATCCTCATCGACGGAGTAGATACTAGAACACTAGGATTAGCGGACTTGAGGAATGCAATTTCCATAATTCCACAAGAGCCGGTACTGTTTTCAACGACAGTCAGGTACAACCTGGATCCGTTCGGAACATTTCAAGATTCACAATTATGGGAAGCTCTCGAACAGGTAAAACAGATGATCAATATGAAAACAGATCGAAAATTACAAAAGGATTAAGGCTTCTAAACTTAAAAACGGAAGAATCTACCCATTTCGACAATTACAAAAGAGGCTTCTGATATCGGTTTCCATGGCACACTGTATATGTTGGAATTTGTTTTGATTCCTCATAATTTCTCATAAGTATGTTTTTTAGGTTGATCTGAAAGATGCAGTGAGTTCCCTAGATTTCCTGGTTACAGATGGAGGATGTAACTTCAGTTTAGGGCAAAGGCAACTATTTTGTCTGGCAAGGGCAATTCTAAGAAACAACAAGATCCTGATCTTGGATGAAGCTACAGCCAACGTAGATCAAAGGTATGCTAATACATCATTCCAGTGGTTATTCAATTTCACACTAGCTGTGCGGAGTTTTTCGAATTCCAACAAGCCGTTTTCGAGATATTCGGGATCGAATGGTATATATGTTTTCTAATTGTGAGTGAATGAATACACATGGAATGTGTGGAATGTGCCTGGCTTTCAATTCATATTTCTCCTGTCAAAATTGCTCAGATCAGTCGATATAGATATCAGATTACAAATGATCTTAAATCATCAGGTGCCGGCGATTCAGAGTAACAATTTTCTCACCTCTAATTCGAAATGAGAGAGAGAATGGCTATACCAAAATATCCTGAATAAATGAATTCATAGACGACCAATAAAATGGTCAGCAAGTTTGCTGGACTTGGCACCCAATGATTTCTGCCTTCGGAGTATTTTTAAAATCCCTCATCCATAAAACGAAGCCTACTATCCTGAACGATTTCGAAAGAAGAATGAGAATCGAACGCCAGACAATAACAGGATAAAGATCTTCGAATGTGCAAACGAAATTAGCAAATACTACCACTGAATGGAGGTCATTCTGAAAATCGGTCTCAGATACTCATTCAATAATTCATTCCGTACATTGATTTGGTGACAATGGGCGAGTGGAATAATGATAAATTATTGACATCCAATTACTTCAACCTAAATCAGTTTTTGCAACACTTCTCACAGTTTTTTTTTATGTGAATAGTGAGTCTATGCGATTTTCGAGATTGTTGTATCGAAAGAGGTCATTTCAAAGGTACCGTCATCGCCGTCATTTGGCGATACGTCGAATTGATAGTGACGTCAGTTTATAATAATATAATGATGATAATAATATATGCTGCATTGTCTGAAGAAGAATCTCGTTGACAAAGCTAGGTCAGATAATATTGTTAAAAGATGTTGAAATATAACGACATGAGAATACGTGACGATATAGTCAAAAAAATACCACATTAAAATACTGAAATATCACAACTCGAACGTATCACTATAATATTCCTGTAAACTGTAATAGGGTCCATCAGAGAGAAACTTTTTGACTTTCTTCCTGAATGGGCGTGTACACCTTGGTAGAACTTTCAACTCAAACTATGTTTATAATGATACTTTTATACATTGATAATGATTGACGACATAATTCGATCGAAAAATCAACGGAATGTTTTATTTTTGGACATAAATAATAGTACCTTCTGAAAACGGACCCTCTTGTGACGTAGAAACCTCATCTCGCCTGGAACCAATGAGCGTGACCCATGTGTGACACTTATCACTGTTGCCATATCATCCAAACAAAATATCCGAGAGATCGGAATCGATTTCGAAATATCTTTTGATATCCACTACCACTACTGCAGAAAAATATATTCAAGTTGTCGATTGTAGGTTGAATCATTGGAATATAAACAATCTCTAGACAACGTAATGTCTCAATCTCAAAACCATTTGCACCATTACAATTTCATAATAATCCAATACATTTGATAAATGCAGCAACATTGCCTTGTTGACCCGTTTTACATGGAGCTGCATTTGCATCGAGTCACGAATTCCGATTTCGAAGTTATTTATGTCGTCTAAAATGAGAAGAGAAGACACGAAATGAAATTAACCTCCGAATCTTGCTTTATATTATATTCATATATTGAATATGAACATGAACGTTGAATCAGGATTTGTGAACGGCTCATCAGATAATCTACCAGAAATTGATTTGGGAATGGTTAATGATTTTTATGTCTGTAACATACAGTTCCTCAGGTGAGGATCAGAACATCTGAAAGGTTTGTTCCACAATATTAATCCAATTTTCATTGCTTGTATCTATCATAGTTGTATTGAAAAATTGTTCACCTGAAAGGATATTAAACTGATTGATATTTTTACCTATGCAACAATATGATCAATTGGTATGAAACAATGTTATTCCCTAGACTAGATACTGCTTGCATCTCCCCCTGAATGTTTTTCTAGGAGATGGATCATTTATTTTTCCAGCAATTCCCCAATGAATTTCTGCAAAGCAAAACTACTACAATATTGTGTTTACCCAGTGAGGGGCCAGATTCCTTCTCATAATTCCCAGCTAAATGATGTTTTTATAATTGCAATTAGGCACAGAACATTTCTTAATCATGCTTTTGTCGAAATATTTCAATTTAATATTCGAAAGTTTCGCGATTTGCAAAGAGTTAATATAAAAGTTAATCTTGGTGCTTTGTCAGAAATCATGTATCATTCATCTCTGTCTGGAATAGTCTTGTTTCAGTATTAGGGTTTTGACGTCACTTCATCGCCTCGTTTTCAGAGGTCCGAAAAATCGGGAATTCCAATAATTTTTTATAAAACTAGGGAGCTCACAGCAAGAAACGGTTTGCGGTGATGAGCTAGTTTGGGTGAGTTCTATCGAATTATGAAATTAATTTTTTTTGTGATATAAGCCCATTGACAGTCATTCATACTTGCTGATCTAATATCAAATAACAAGTGGTTGTACATTTTTTCAACATTATAGTTTATGGAATCTTCAATAAACTCTCTTGTGGGTAGAGGAAGTTTCGAACTGAAATTTCTGTTGCGCGTGTTATGATGTATGGGAATTGTAGTGAATTTTAACTTGTGCTTATTTATCAGGCAAACAGATTCCAGAATGAATAGTGCAATCACTGTCAATATTTCATTATTGGAAAATGAAATTCTGCAAGAATCTCGAGGTTTGACATTACATAAATACCTTATCGCTCGTTTCTGTAATATTAACAGAGTTTTTAAAGACGTTGGGCTGCACACTCCCCAAGAAGGTATTCCATATCGTAATTGGGAATCTTATGGGAGCTTATATGCTGATTCGTTATTGATCAGATAATCTTCCATTTCCACTCATGAAGCAAGGTTGTCAAGTAACCAATTCCAATCAAGTTATCGAAAATATGTTGAGGTCCTGTCGTCGAAAGAACATGGCAGGAGAAACCCATGATATTATAGTTCATTCTTGACCTTTTCCAGGGACCAATAACAAAATATCATGTGAATATTGAAGACCGTGATATTCGGGTGAATTCTGTTTACAAATAGCAATATGGTTGGCGAGAAGATATTGCTATCATAGCAAGATTCAAAAAAGTGGATTTGAACATCAATTCTGAGCTCGCTGTCTCATAATGAGGTAGAAAATGGCAGTGGATTCTTTGTTTTCTTTGTTTTTCCAAGTGTATGGTATAAGTGCTGAGATGCGTTTACGTTGGGTCAGGTTCGCACCAGATAGCGGTCAAGAAGCTATCTGAGACAGTTCTGTACTGATGAGAGCCAACAGCTCTAAACCGGTCTGCAGATAGTCAGCGTTCCTGAACCACTTAGGCGCAGATCAGCGTTTAGGAAGGAAACACTTGCGATTTATTCGTCTATACGGACTATTGCATAGATTTCGGTAGGATGTAATTTTATGTGCTGCGTGGCATAAAGCAAGGAAGGTAATGACTTTGAGTTTCTCTCTCTTTGTGACCATTGCATTCCACTTTGAGTACTTGACTTTTTCCCTACTTGAAAATACGCCAGTCGGGCAACCAACCACTCCCATTTCACCTGAAATGGGATCTCTTTGAACTTTTAGTTCAATAGTTAGGATCCACCTTGATTGATGACAACACATGAGTGTCATCTTCAAATATGGTCATCGACTGTATAATAAGGGATTGAAAGACAGTGTATGAACTACAGTCTTCTATGGTTTATGAAATAGGGCGCGAACTTATATCTTCATCATTAGATTCTTAATTTTATTTTGGATTGATTGGAAGCATAATATTCTTACCTACTATATTCCACCCTTTCCATGATCACATAACCTCTAACTAGCTGGCATTATACATCAGGTGAAAATCTTCATTAAGTCATACATGATTTTTCAGGACTGATGCATTCATTCAAGCTATGATCAGAGAAAAATTCAAGGACTGTACCGTTCTTACTATAGCACACAGGTTGAACACCATAATGAATTGTGACAAGGTTCTGGTGATGAATTACGGGGTCATAGCAGAGTACGATAATCCTCACGAGTTACTGCAAGTACCAGACGGAAAATTCCACAAAATGGTACTGGAAACCGGACCCATGATGGCAGAGGTTCTGAAGGAAATCGCGAAGGAAGCATATTATAACGTGAACCACACAACTGCACTGTGAATTTTGATTAAACATATTATTGTATTGTTGAAACAAATAAAAAGATCTTATTCCTTCCTATGGACTATCACTGTTCTGCAGATAGACATCAAATGTATTTTTGAGGATCGATTGAAAAAGTGATCAAGGGTAAACATAAACTGTGAAAAATTATCAAAAATTTAAATCCTAATATACAAATGATAAAAGTATGGTGGTGGAACGTACAGGGTGGGCAAAATTGGGCGTTTTCACCGTCTATCTCAATAACTAGAGGAGTTATCGAAAAACCGATATACATGTTCTGGGTTCGATTTTGAAGAAACCTCGAATGGCACAA